CCTGCGCAGCAGGCAGACGTACGGGTGATCCTCGGGCTCCAGGTTGGCGACCTTCTCGACCACAATTTCCTTGGGGGTCGGGGAGGTGGCGTTGGTGTACAGTCTTGATCCCCCGAGATACAAGGCAGGGATGGAGCGCTCGAAGGCTCGAGACGCCTGGACGGTCTTGGCGAGGAGGCCGAGACGGATGTTTGCAAAAGCCAAGGACATGGTGTAGGATGTCGAAGGTGATGGTAGAGAAGCAGAGGAGGTGATGCAACAGGAAGGACGGTAGCTCAATCAAGCACACGCTAGGCGCAGCGGCTGCAGCGGAGGAGGACAGGGAAGATCAGGATAGAGGAAGCGGTAGGGGAGGAACTCCAAACCAGGTGAAGATGAGGGGGGGGGAGGGCGGGCTTAAGTAGTGGAGGAAGTGAAGGAAGGGGAGGAAGGGGAGGAAGATGACCCTTACGTATGTTATTAATTATGCACCTGCGGATGTCTTTACTCAAAGTTAAGTTAAAAATCAGTACGAGGACAATCAGGAGAGGATACGTCAGAGCTCAAGAAGGCGTGGTAGGTACCCTTGAGGCTCTTCAATGTAGTGATCCCTCAACGTGTCTCTATTATGCACCTACGTCAGGAGTCGAAGGGCTCGTACTGATCTTTAACTTAACTTTGAGTAAAAGAGTCAAAAAGGCGTGAGCTAGGATACTCTCGTCAGGGTCTCTTTTGTTGCTTGAAACTTTACTCAAAATTAAGTATAAATTGTTGAGTGAAATATTCTGACTTGTCTACACACTCAGTGACTGCCGAACGACGACGGCCGGGCCGGGCCGGGCCGGGCCGGGCCGGGCCGCCGCCGCCCAATTGAATCGGAAGCCTCGCGGCCCCGAACAAAAAGTCTGAGTCCGAGTGGCAGTGCTGGTAGGCTATCAACTTTACTATCAACCAGACTCCGCTCTTCAAAGCGGTAGAGGAGGCTTGACCCTGCCACGGACCGTGGCACCGTGACTGTCGCACCAGCCGTACATCTCAATAACTTGATCAGTAAAGCTAACCGAACTGACTGAGGGATTGAACAGCAAACTTGGCAGTACTTGACAGTCCGTTAACACTGAGTGACTGGTGAGTTCGGACCCTCAGTGAGATCAGTACGGTATTGCTCGTGGGTTTATTTACATGAGGTCTAAAGTTACACGGATAGACTTGTCTAGGTCATGGTACACCCAGGCACTCGAGCCTTGACTCGTGACTGGCGAGTGGCAGCGCCTCTATTTGGGGGCCTGGTTGAAGACGGTCTTGGCAACCTCGATGGCCTGCTTGTAGGTTTGCTCGCCCCAGACTGCCGGGCTCTCAGTCAGACAACCTCCACAACGCCCTCACTGCCAAACACTCACTGAGCTTGGAGTTCTCGAGCACCGCAAGCACTTCCTCCTGCGTAGCGCCGACCTGCCAGAGAAACCCCGTTAGACCACCCCGAGCAGCGACGAGATCCCGGAGCTCACGTTCAGCGCTCCCTGCACATGCGACGCGAGCTGCATGGGAACGTCTTGGCCGGAGAGCACAGACACCACGCAAAGCTCTCTCATCCTCAGAGGAAGGCATCCAGCGCGCCCAATCACACGGCCGTAGGCATGCTCGACCATGAACCGGTCCAGGAGGGGATGAAGATAGGCCATGCGGGCCCTCAGCTTCTGGTACTTCTCGCCGTAGATCATCGAGCACGCCTCATCCCCTGTGCACCCTCTCTCAGCAAACGCTCCTCCCGGGCTCCCACCCTCGCATGCAGCATCACCTCTGACGGCAAAGTAGTTGCCCTCATTGCTGTGCTCTTCCTGCCACTCGGGCGTGCGCTCGACGCCGACTTTCTGCACAGCTGCGAAGGCATTGATGGTCTTGGGGAAGCCAACGAGGCAGTTCAACTGAAGGATCGCCTGCCACAAACCTTGTCACCGCTCACACCCACCCGCTACAGCCGAGGTCACACCTCCATCCCAGCGGGGTGGCAGGACTTGGGCACGTACTTCCAGTCGCGAGCTACGTCTTTCAGCTTGCCAGCGCCCTGCCATGTCTCGGATCAGGAGACCGCTCCTTCATGCATCTGCATGCTCCTGCACTCACCGCGTTGGCAACAACCAAGGTCAGCACGCGCTCGTGGGGGAGAAGAGACTTGGGAGCTGCGGGCATCTGCGAGAGCCATCTGCAGGACAAGGTCAGGCCCTGCGATCCCGCGCAGCAGGCAGACGTACGGGTGATCCTCGGGCTCCAGGTTGGCGACCTTCTCGACCACAATTTCCTTGGGGGTCGGGGAGGTGGCGTTGGTGTACAGTCTTGATCCCCCGAGATACAAGGCAGGGATGGAGCGCTCGAAGGCTCGAGACGCCTGGACGGTCTTGGCGAGGAGGCCGAGACGGATGTTTGCAAAAGCCAAGGACATGGTGTAGGATGTCGAGGGTGATATTAGAGAAGCAGAGGAGGTGATGCAACAGGAAGGACGGTAGCTCAATCAAGCACACGCTAGGCGCAGCGGCTGCAGCGGAGGAGGACAGGGAAGATCAGGATAGAGGAAGCGGTAGGGGAGGAACTCCAAACCAGGTGAAGATGAGGGGGGGGGAGGGCGGGCTTAAGTAGTGAAGGAAGGGGACTCGTGCGGAGGTCCGCTTAACATCATCTTCCGTTTAGCTGTTTCGTTTGTCCTTGCGGACCCCCAGATTTACCATACACGTTTAACCAGGGGGTAGAGGTGGGGGTTCCTCATGCTGACATTGCTGATGCTGAGCCAAGTAAATCTGAAAAGAAGTGTTTTCGATCTTGAATACGTTTCTTTCTTTCTTGTTTCACTTACTCCAACAGTGTACCCATCAATCTACTACCCACCCTTTCTCACCGCAGGACCCCTGCATACCTCCATTCGCAGTGCCCTGTTACGCAGACCATTTGGCCTTTCTACTACCCCTCTTACATGTGAGCGTACGGTAGAAGGTACCGGTGGTTTGCAGCCCCAAGTACATATCGCGACGAAATGCAGTAAAGACAGGGGAGCTGATTGTCCCATGACCAAGGGGGTCATTTATGTAGGGGTGGTTTCAAAAGGTTCTACTAGGGTGGTGTTGTCACGGTTAAAAGATAACCTCGGCTATCACACCCCTACCTCTAATATGAATCATGCTACAAAGTAGAGGGTGGGGTCTTGAATTTGATCCGATATGGTTTCCGGGGAGTCAGGGAAGGAACGAAAAGAGGAGTTTTCAGAGAGACGTGGAGGAGACAGAGAGCCGTAGGTACGTGAATTTATCTGGCAAGACTGGGGGCCATGTTGGAGGGGGTAGCGATGCACCCCTCCTTTACAGTCTTTGCACCCGGTCCTCGCTAGGCGTCACGGCGCAGCGGCCTCCTTCCCGGCCCCGAGTCCGGTCCTCCGAGGCCCGGAAATTGGCACTGTGAGTGAAACCGATGAGTTCGAGAACTCACGGCACGGTGACCGGTGGTTCAACGGTTGTTCCTGGTAACATAGGGGGTGGTTCAAACTTCGGCGGTTCGGGTCCTCCGGCCGTCTCAAACCTCATTGAAACCGCGGGCCTGCCGCGTACCGTACGGTACGGTATATCCGGAGAGCGCCGGGGCCCCCGGCCGCCCGCCCGCCGACCGTGCCGTGCCGTACTGTAGTACCGGGTCACAGCCAAGTTGCCCGACGGTTCCCGACGAGCACCCCGTGACGGTCGGACTCTTAGCTCAAAGTTAAGTTAAAGATCACTAAGAGGACAATGACTCACCGTGCGTACACGTTGTCACTCACGGCACAAACTTTACTCAGTCGAAGCGGCTGAGGATAAGGCAAGCACAAACGTGACACGTATGAATCCGTACTGATCTTTAACTTAACTTTGAGTAAAAAATCAGTGCGCTGGCAAACACGTATCATGATTAGACTAGGGGTTTGAGTAAAGGAGTAACGGCGTACGGTCCGATCACCGGGTATCATAATTCCGGGTCCTCGGAGAACCCGGGTGACCCGGGCGGCCGGCGCCGCGACTCCCGGGCCGCCCGGAGGCTCGGACGCCGGGGCCGGGCCGCCGGGCCGCTCTGCGGGCCGGGCGCGGCGGCCCGCCGGGGCGCCCGGCCGCCGCCGGCCGCGTCATGGAAAAGAGACTGAGGCAAACGGTAACTTAGTAAAGACTCAGTCGCCAGGCCGGGGACTAAAAGATTGCAGCGATGCCATAAACCGTCCGTGGCGCGGCGGCTGTGGCGCGGCGGCTGTGCCGCGCGACATAACTTAAACTGTGCCTCGACTCATACTATCAAGGCATTATTCGTACTGATTTTTGACTTAACTTTGAGTAAACTGAGTGAAAAAGGGGACCCGGCGGACGGCGGTCGCGAGTCGGCGACTGAGTTGCCGCAGCAGCTCGGCCCGGCCGAGTCGCCTGCGGCCTGAGTCTCAGAGTCTCGTCGCCGAGTCCGGAGTCCGAGTCGGGCCCGGCTGGCCGGCTGGGTTGAAGGGCCTAGTCAAACCACAGCAGGGCGAAAGAAGCAAGAGGTTGGGCTACTCTACATGTCGACAGTGCGAGCGCAGGTGAGGGCAGCAGAGGAAGCACTCGTCCCTCCTTCCTCTTGATGGCAGCAGCAGCAGCAGTAAGGGTAGCGAAGGAAGGACTGAAGATTAGTTCAAGAAGGACCAAACCTAGCGAGAGATAGCAGGACAGCCTAAGTCGAGCAGTGCCGGCTTCTCCTCCTTACTGTCCCGCTGACTTTGGCTTCGCTCCCCCATGCAGGTTCATCGGGTGCTCGGTCTTCCCCAGGTGTCATCCTTCTCTTCTTGGCCTTCTCCTTCCTCCCTCTTTGTCTCCGTCTCTATTCAGAGTGGGGGTGAACGGCTTTGCCCCCAGGCGCACGTGCAGCCCTCCAAGACCCTGCAGTGCTCCATCGGTTTGTTGAAGTCTTCAAGGAGGTGGGGAGGACAAGTCCTGATGCTCCTCGTCTTCAATGTCTCCATGCGCATCTGAAATCTCAGCACAGGTCGGGTAATGGAGCTGCGAGCCGCCATGCTCTATTCAGCAAGAACGTCGGATGTACAACACAAGCTGTGATGTGCGAGATGTTTTTGAAGTCACTCTTACGGATTTCGACAGACGTTTGAAGAAGTCTTTGAGCTGCATGAAGCGTTTTGCACAGAAACAAATCAGATGGTCCCGTTGGATGACGGCAAGTTGAATCTGGTGGCACGAGTTTACGTCAACGACGTCACCGTGGAACCGAAGTGCGTAGGGGTGGCTGAAGTATTGACTTTTACCTGGTGGACGTCTACATTGCAGTGACTTGTACCGGCAGGTTCTTCTGACTGTTGGAACATCTGCTGAAGGTTTATGGTTGGAGCTGAAGGAGGAAGACACTAAGGGCCCAGAAGACCAACGTGGGGAGGGATGCTGTATCCAGCTCTCTGTGCTCTACGTCGCACAAGGTGTTGTACGTTGCATCGAGACTCCCCTGAACATGATGAACAGCAGGAGAAGTGCAGGATGGAAAGGAGGTGAGCAGACAATGCCTGAGAGTTGGAGGATGTGACGGGAACCTGAAGGATCCATGGGGGAGGATCTCAAGGCTGGAATCTGCTCTGCGGCAGTCTAACCAGGAGAACCTACGGCTGCGGGAAGAGGTTGAAAGGAGTGGAAGAGAGGAGAGGACATTTTGAGAAACAGCTCCTGCCTTGTTTCCCCTCAGTTTGACGATCTTCTCTGTCCTTGACTCTGCTCTCATTGGCGATGCTTCACATGTTGTTTCTTCCAGTGATTGGCAGGGATTTCTTGCAGATTACGAGGATGGCGGGGGAGCTTCACGACAAACAGGCGCGGCTGAAGGTCCTGCTGCCCCTGCTCGTGACTTTTCTGAGCGACCTCGTCAGAGTTTGGACGAGGAGCTGAAAGCGATGAGAGCGGAAGGAGGGAGGTCGAATGAAGTCCGGCGGGACATGAGAATCTCCGAGCTGGAGGCGAGCAGAGCACAGAGCTGCTCGGAGCAGCAGGGACTGACTGTCGACCTGCAGCGAGAGAACGAGAGTCTGAAGGAGCAACTGAAATTGAAAGGGCAGTTCAATCTCAACGGGGGATCGCAAGTTTCACATGTGAACTTCACGTTTCCTCATGCTAACTTTCAGCCTCCTGCCTGAATTTCTCTATCCCTTCTCTTTCCCTGCAACTGTCTTTCTCCCTCCTCTCCGCCTTCGTTCGCTTTCGCACTGTGCTGACACATTCTTGCCGGCAGCAGACTCTAGGTAAAGGAGCTGCGGAGGCGAGCTCTTTGATCCAGCACGTCCGGCGATCCTTCGAGAGCAGACGGCACGCCAAGGAGCAGCTTAAGGTGAAGATGGCAATGGTGGTGATGGAGATGATGACAATGGTGCTTGTTGTGATGGCAATGGTGGGTACGAAGATGATGATGATGGAGATGATGACGATGGAGATGGTGGTGGTAGTGGTGGTGACGGTTATGATGATGATGAGCAGGGGGTGGAGGAGAAGATTGTCGAGGCCATAGGAGTTCTCAAGGAATCTCAACGTTCAATCTCCGGATTTTCTTCTGCGGAGCAACGCAACCAGCTCGATCTTTGTTCTTGAATTTCTCCTCCTCGTGCATCTTCAACCATGTTTTATCCTCTTCTTCACATCCGATGCTTCTTCATCTCTCCTCGCTCTCTCCCTCCTCTCCTTGCACACGGTATCGAACTCCCACGATGGCTTGGTTAGCAAGTCGTCGGTACCCCTCGGCAGGGATTGGAGCTTGCAGCGAGTCCGTCAGGTTTCCCCTCAGGTAGAGCTGGGAACCAGTCATGTACTCCCTGCTCAATGGAGTCTCTTGCCTGCTTCAACGTTGTCCTTGTAAGAGCCGCCGATACCAGTGCGAACATCCCTTCGGCTCCGATGCTGAACAAAGGCAGAAAGTCCAAGGAGCGGAGGTGGAGGAAGAGGATTACCAGTCAGGAAAGTATCAAAGAGTAAGGGGAGAGGAGGGGGAGGAAGATGGGAGGAAGATGGGAGGAAACGCCAGCGGCAGGAGTGAGAGCAGAGGCAGGAGGAGCAGGGCACCTGTTGCTGTTCAGATGGAGGCTGGTAAGGGAGCTCGCGCCATTCCTCAACGCAGCTGCAAGCGCCTCCCCTCCTTCATCTCCGACCTGCAGCCTTTGGTCAAGCCAAAAAGCACAGCAGACCTTCTTTCCTCGTTGAAGTTGAGATTCAGTGCCGCCAGGTTCGGAGGAAAAGACGCCGCAAGGGCACGGGCGCCGTCGACATTGATGAGATTGCCTGATGTTGTACTTTCACCGCTCTTCTCCACCCTCCTCTCCCCCCTTCCCCCCCCCCCCTCCTCCCTCTCTCCCTCTTCCATCCTTTCTGCTCTCCGTCGCTGCCCGTTGACTCCTTGTTACCTCCGAGGGCGAGCACGCGGAGAGATGAGAGTCTGCGGGAGAGTCTCAGCAGTCGGGGCAGAGAGCAGGAGAAGTTGCCTGCAGATTCCTTCCGCCAGTGACGATGCTCCTGCGTCGGCTGATCGACAAGTGACAAGGAGACGAGGAGACGTTAGCGACAAGTAGAGTGAACGAAGAAGGGGATGGGGAGCCTGTCTTGCGACAGGAGGAGGGTTGCACATAAAGAGATGGGAGATGTCTCGCATGAGATGAAAGAGTTGGAGCGAGCAGTAACGTGCTCTCCTGACCGATGTGGTTGTCGCCGAGGTCGAGGTGGGTGAGGTGTTGAACTTTTGAGAGGGACTTCGCTAGCGACGTCGTCCCGCTACCAAGACGCGTCAGAACGATTAGGAGGGTCCCGACGGCCTCGCCTGTTCCTGAGGTAGTTGTAGGAGAGGTCGACCCTGCCGACAGTCTTTGAATGCTTGTCGAGAACTTGGTTGAGATGGTTCGTAAGAGAAGTCGAGATTCCGGTGTTCACCAGGGTGACCTCAGAGGCTCTCAGGACCGGTCCTTCATCCCAACCTTCCCACCTCTGTTACACTCCCTTCGGTCGCCGCCAGCAGGCTCTCGATGGCCTGCATGGAGGCTTGCTGATCGAACTGAGGGGTTTGCAGCATGGATGCGTTCTTGCGGTGAGCTATCCGGCTCCTCTCCTGCATGTTGCGATCAGCACAGCATGTAGACGAGGCAGAGCCGACAGGTACAGGAGTCTGCAGCAGGGCAAAGGTGGCAAGGTGCGCATTCCCGTCCTCGGACAAGGTCGAGTCATCCAGTCCTTCCTGTTGATCCACAACATCACAATCGTTTTCTGTTCATGTCGGCGACTGCATGTTCAAGATCGCACAAGGAAAGATTGGCGGGATGGTTCCTCCAACTCTCGCATCGGCTGACTTCTTGTAGTACAAGTCAGAGCAGCAAGGCATACCCTCCCTTGCCTTGTTTCTAGCTCCTCGACCCTGGCTCGAAGGGCTTGCACCTCCTGCGAGGAGTTGAGAACTTCCAAGTCTCGTTCTAAGTCTCTCACACCTTGTCCTTGTCCTGCAGCTGTGCTTCCAACGCTACGACGCGATCTTGCTCTCCCTCCGACCTGCCTGCTACCCTCCCACATCTCTCGTGGACCTGCAACAGCTTCTGCAACGCATCTCGATACTTCATCTGCTCCCACGTCGTCAGCAAACAGTCACGACTACAGCAGATAGATCTTCTCACTCCTTGCTCCACCGCGATCTTTAGATCTTCTTCCAACTCCTTGACCGAAGAGCGCTCACTCTCCAGGGCCTTCAAGACAGTCATCACCGTCCCATTTAGCGATGACCCGACGGACCTTCATCAACAGCTCGTTCTTCCTCTCCAGCATCTCAACCTTAGTTTCCAGAGCCTCGACCTTCTCCTGCTCAGTAAGGATCAATCCCTTCCCCCTCCTGTCAGACGTCCTTGTACCATGTGATGGCTGAGGCCCCGAGAGCTACCGGTCTCGCTGCCCACAATCATTCTCATCGCACTTATCTGCTGCTCGAAAGCTTTCTTGTCGTCATTCCTGGCTTGTATAATCTGCTGGTAGGCCTGGAAAGAGCTGAGAAACCGTAGAGAAGAGTTTGTGATAAGACCACACCTTGAGAAGTTCAGTATACTTCGAGTGTAGATCGATAGCCTCGACATCCTGGAGGCTGTTGCGTATCAGTAGCTGGAAGGCTTTCCCCAACATGATCTTCTCTCCTCTCCCCTTCTCTGGCGTCCTCGTCTCAATTTCCTTCTCTTCTCTGTCGTCCTAAACTCTTTTTCTTCTCAATATGCATCCCTTCTTTGATGCCGTTTGCACATATTCTCGTCTCCACCTTTCCCTTCATTTTCTCTCCTCTCCTCTCCTCTCCTCTCCTCTCCTCTCCTCTCCTCTCCTCTTCATTCCTCCTACCTCTGCACATAGATTCCATTCGTGACGAAGACGCTCATTTTGGGCCGAAAAGTTTTGACGTTGGTAGTCAAACAGTTGACCAATACTAGCTTTTGACCTGGTGTTGCCCGTCAATGATTCTACAAAGGACCCCGGGGTACCCCGTTGATAAAGTCTTATAACCCCCTCCATCGACCAGAATAAGATTACTAGCATTTCTGCATTGCACACACAGGCATTTGGCTGCGAGTTTGTTGATCCTGTCAACCACCATGGCTATGCGGCTGGAGGGGGAAGGACAATGGGAAGGATGGGCAGAGAGGGAGCGAGGAGGAGCGAGGAGGAGCGAGGAGGAGAGAGGAGGAGAGAGGAGGAGAGAGGAGGAGAGAGGAGGAGATGATTGAGATGAAGAGGGGAGAAACGATGAACACAGACAAATGTGGACGGTGGATGGACCGAGACAGGTCGCGGAATGAGCTGGCACTTGCTGTGCTATCCTGAAAGCGACAAGATCAGCTGAAGGAAAGATGTCAAGGGCAGGAGGAGAGCTCGCAAACCCCTCAAGGTCTCTAGATGTGGATGCTGTTGTCACCTCAAGATCGAACTCGAGGGCCTCAGCTCGTTCTACCCCACTCTCAAAGAACGATCCGCATTTCGCCTCCAGGTTTGAGCGACTTGACAGCCCAAGTCAAAGTGAAGACTCCGGCAAGCAGAGCAAGAATGTGAGGAATGCTTCAGAAGACAGGATCATGTTGAAGAAGTTTTTGTCTGATGAGCCCAAGAAGATAGCTGATGAGCACAGAGACAAGAAGTCATTACAAGGAAGGGAGAAAGTGAACGAGCTGATCGCAACAGCATCCTGGTCGGCCATGGAAGGGATCGGCATGCTGTTTCGTGGGGCTGCAAGTGAAGATACGATCAGAGGATGGAAGGACATTGCGAAGAGGAGCTATGTCCGACAGGGGATACTTAACGCCACACGCAAGACAGTGGACAGATCTTACCTGCTGCAGATCCCAAACGTCCACGCGTCTCAAGATCAGCTTGTCAAGACCATCGAGAGCATCTCGAGCTTCATCTACGACCTCGACCACTTGATCAAGGTCGGGCCCCTTCACCGCCGCCGGGTCGTGGAGCTCGGAGGCGTGGCGGTGCTGGTTTCGACCTGTCCTTTCATACAGGATGAAGAGCTACTGCTGCGATGCGTCAGGAGCCTGGCGAACTTGTCTTTGGACTCGGAGACGCGGAGGCTGATGGTGCTAGAGGACAGCGGGTGCCTGAAGGTGCTTGCCGACGTCATCTGTGCCCCCCACCGCCCAGATGTTCTTGAGAGCTGCTTGAGAGCATTTTACCTCCTAGCAAGCGAGGAGGAAGCAGGGAGGCAGATGGTTGGTCTTGGAGCCCTCAACGCCGCATGCACCCTGTGCGCCAAGGTCGGGTCGAGACACCTTGGGGTCCTGCGAGGGGCGTGTGCGCTGCTGTCAAGGCTTGCGAGGGACGCAGCGTGTCTGGAGGCGATGACGAGCAAGGGCAATCAACTGCTGAACGCTCTCTTCCGTGTTGTGAGGATCTGCCCTGATGCTCTGGTATGCGGTGCAGCTTGCATCGTTCTCTCAGCTGTATGCAAGGGGCCGAATCGGATCCTTATGGGACGACACAAGAACCTCGACGCCCTCGTGCTGATGCTGGAGCGGGAAGTGCTTCCCGACGCCTCCATGTTCCAGGAGGGCGACTCTGCTTCCCAGTCCACCTTCTCGAGGAGGCTGTCGGGCTTCAACCACCTTGTTCCAGCCTGCACTCTGATCACTCAGCTCAGCGTCGTGCAGGAGAATCGAAACAGATTCATCTCGTTGGGAATCGCACACCCACTTATCGCCCTCATCCTGTCGAGGCTGAATGACAAGGAGTCATCCGAGGCTGCCAAGGTGAGTCTCTATGACCTGCACCTTCCCTTGTGACGGCAGTCGGCAGTCTGCGATCAAGAGCATTGAGGTGGACGAGAAGCTTCGTCAGCTGATCTTGTTCGGGGGGGGGGGGGGGGGATAGGGGAGGAGGAGGAGGTGGAGGAGGAGGAGGAGGGACGGGGGCTAGGCGGGGTTTAGCTCTGGGCCAGATGATGACTATTTGCTGTGCAGGACAGTAGCGGAGTACATATCGCAGACTCTGAACCTGTCGGCCAACTCCTCGCTCGGTTGCTCTACTTCCTCTCCTTCTTCCCTTCAGTGACTCAGAGCAATCCCAGGGAGCTCCAGCGCGCAGTCCCTCAGCGCTCCATCGCTCGCCAGGAAGCTTGCGGGCAAGACGCAGGAGCACTGGTCCGATATCCTCCTGCGCATGTTGAGCCTGCAGGAGGCGGAGGAGCTGAAGCTCCGACCCAATGTGGTCCAGCTGCTGAATCGATATTTGTTCGATCAGAACCATCTACGGCAGCAGGTCTTCACTGCGCTTCCTTCCGTGTTTGGATGCTCTGAGAGAACTTACCTCGGCCAGCAACAGCAGGTGCTCAAGGACGATGCGGATAAGGAGGATGAAGAGTTGTTCAGGGTCCCTCCCCCTCCCCCCCCTCGTCCAGGTTGGACTCACTACTGCTTTCCCCCCCCCCCCCCCGCCGGCATCGTAACCTTCATCGACAGATCACGGGACTGTGAAGGCCCCGACACCTTTGGAGCCACCTTCGCTTCCTGCTACTCCCTGTGAGCCTGTTGCATCGATGCTGTTGCAGTCCAGGTCACTCGACACTGCAGCAAACTTCCTCTTGAGCTCTGCAAAAGCCCCGACGCCCAGTGAGGTCGAATCGAAACCTCAGACACCACGTGAGGACGAGGACGAGAACGAGGAGGAGGAGGAGGAGGAGGAGGAGGAGGAGGAGGAGGCTGATTATGGATAGGCCTGTTGGACTACGCTACAAAAATTGCGCCAAGCCCGAGTGAGGCGAGCTCAGTAGCTCAAACTCCAGGTGAGGAGCTGAGATGTCAACGTAGAGTTCTGCTCCTGATTCCGCCTAGACCTCGACGATTGGGCGGTGGCAGTAGCAGCGACGCCCCTCGAGCCTCTCTCCCTCCCTCATTCCCCAGGTACTCGGAGGAAGCTCTGCAGCCTTGACCAATGGTTCTCTTCCCCTGTAGCGCCTGAGGACTGGAATGCCGTCACTGCCGACTCTCCTGCTGAGCCCGAGTCTGCTCCTTACACACCAGGTTCGTTGCTGGACTGACTGCTAGGAGGGCTGAGTTGACGATTACGTTAGTCATGGGGTCGCGAGACTTTCTTATGGATCGTGCCAAGTCACCCGGCGAAGTTTTCTCAGCTCCCGTCACTCCCGGTCATGCTCCCTGCTTCCTTCATCGCCTGACAACCCGCTGGCAGACGTGCAGGACTGGATGGCCATCTTGGCTCCTACTCCGCCGCCTGTTCGCTCGCATCCTCGAACGCCAGGTGGACTTGCTCGATCGCAGCAGCTCGTGATAGTGATGGCAGCTGTGGTGCGATCGGGAGGGAAGCCCTTGTCAGGTCAGCAAGCGGTCGAGAGGGGACAGTCCTGACGATGTTGGCAGCTGACGCGAAAGCGTCTGAGGCCATCAGGGAGATGGAGGGCGTGGCGCTGCCTTCGATGTCACTGGAGAAAGTGAGGACGCAGCAGCAGCAGGAGAAGCAGTGAGAGAGAGAGAAGGTTTCAAGGGACATCTCTCATGTGTTGGTTTATCTACATCGACCCCTCTCTCACTTGGTTGGCCTTGCGATCGTGTTGAGCGCGCTTCGTCCCATCTTGTCTCGCACGATTTTCTCGAGCGTGATCTTCTTGTACATGCCGACGCGTGCTGTGCTGTTTCTCCGCACCAGCTCGTTCTGCAGGCTGAAGGTCGAAGACCTCCGGAAGCTGCCGCGGGGGCTGGCGACGGGACTCTCCTCCACAGAGCGGATCAAGTAGAGGATCCAACCCATGAGGCTGTCAGAGTTGGCAAGCTGTAAGACGTTCCTTGAGTTCTCCGAGGACCTCGGGGAGACGGGAGCATCGCCTCGGCTCTGAGACTCCTTCTGAACCATTGCCTCCACCCACTCCTGAAACTTCTGCCCGACCTTGTTCTCCGTCAGGAGATCCATCGGCCACAGAGGCCGCCTGCTCCTAGACTGATCGTCGTCCCGCCTGATGCTAGTGTACATGGCCAGCGCCCGGGAGTCCCAACCTTGCAGAACCTGCCGATAGAGGTCAGAAGGGTCGAGGAGGGTTGGAGGGGGCAGACCTCGTGCACGTACTTCTCCTGTGCCTCCTTCATCTCCGTCATCCTCAACTCTCGTAGGAACTGAGACCACATGGCTCGGGCCTGGGACAGCAGCTCGTTGTAGACCTGGGCAGCAAGGTGCTCGTGAACGGCCTCGGGCAGCTCGAAGAAGCAGAAGAGGTCCTGCATGACCCTCCAGGCCTCCGAGTGCCTGACGTTCACTGAGTGCACGTCCCGGCAGAGCCGGACGAACTCGTTGCAGACTCTCTCCAGCGATGCTCCTATCCACAGGGGCACCTTGGGAAACATCCGGTGATAGTTGTTGCGCTGCTGCCCATGGTAAAGCTTGTTCGCCTCCTCTTGCCCGATGAACTTGATCTCTGCGATGGGGCTAGAAGGGAACAGCACAGAAAGCGACTTGTTCATGGTCTTGAGGATGAGGTTGTAGTAATGCTCTCGGAATAGCCGAAAGACAAGGTCTTTCCGCAGTTGACTTCGAATGACTGAGTTGCGGAACATCCGTTGGCAGTAGACGACTTTCGCCTTGAAGTCCTTGATGGTGCCAATGACTCTTCTCTTGTGCTGGAGTTGTAAGAGCAGATGTTTGATGATGATGGCGGGCTTGTTCCACAGACTGCAATAACTCCTGAAGTGCCGTCTCAATAAGAACCTTGCAACGCATCTGTAGAATGTCTTCTCTGGGGAGAGTTCCATCCTGTTTTCAAAACTCCAGCGGATGATAGAGAAGATGGAGTTGTGCTTCAGATTGTGCAGCCTGTGCTCGTAGTTTTCACTTCGTCGGAGTCTGAACAAACGGGCAACTTTCTGCACATTACGTCTTACGTTGACAATCTGACCGAAGCGTCTTTCTCGCATGTGATGTTCTCGTATCAGCATTTCTGAGCAACTCTGGGAGAAGTTTGCTAAGATCACGAGCGTCAACCATCTCTTCTGCTCCATCTCGATACGGTTGTGAATTTCAGTCTCCTGAGGCTTGACATATGACTTGCTATGCTTCACCATGAAAGAATGTATGGTTCGCTCCCATTGCTCTGCTCAAAGTCAGGGAATCGACGCACGCAATGTATAGAGCACCTCTCTTCAAAGCTTGCGCCTTCGCGTACGTTTCTTCGACTCTTTGTTGACGTTCTGCTGCATGTCTTTGCAAAGTCTTTGTATAAATCCTGGGACTAAAAACCTCGAGATTTTTCGTGTTTTCTCGCACAATATCTCTTGCCTTTCGATGAAGAACATGAGCAAACGAGCAAACAGAAGCTTCATCACAGCTCACCTCGATCGGCCTCGAGCTTGGACGTAAGTTCACGAGTTGCAGATGAAAGTCCAGAGATCTTCTCTTCTTGGGTTGCGAGAGGACAGCAAGTCTGGGGGACATGAGCTGCTTGTCATGCGCCAGAAACTTCCTGTCGTTGCTGGAAGAATCGCGACGAGAGGTGGCGGGTCGGAGGGCATGCTCGTGATCTGAAGATTTGGATGGCTTGCCCTCTGAGCGGTCAATGATCACGTCTCTTCCTCCGGCTAAGTACCGCGCTACTGAGGGGGGCATGGGGCGCTCATACTTGCGAAGGAGAGGGTTGTACCCCAGGATCTTTCCTTCGTCCTTCGCCTCCACGGAGGACTTTGTCTTGCTCCTCATCTTCTCCAACCTCGCGATGTTCTTGCTCGTGGCCGAGAGATCTTTCAATCCGGTCAGAACCGCACGAGGTGTCCTCAATTCGTCGGAGGACGCCAGCAGAGCTCGCACGTCAGGCATGCGGTCGAGACTTCTTTCCTCGCCCCCTCGGTCTTCTGGTGTAACTGAGTCCTCATGCTGACTGTCCTGAGTGTTGCCGTTCTCTTTCCTCCTGCTCTCGCTCTTCGACCAACTGCTTGCCGTTCCTGGCCGAGTGAAAGTTGAGTTGGACATCACCATCATTCACAGCAAGCGAGGCTTCAGCCGTAGAAGACTCACTGGTAGTAGCTTCAACCCGCAAGCTCACTCACTCACTAGAAGTCGCAAGCTTTTCTCCTGCTCTCCTCACTTGTGCAGCACCAGCCGGCATGGAAAGTACGCCTGAACACAACGGTCAGTAACTAGTTAAGTAAAAAACGAGCCCGGGCCGGCGGGCGGCAGCCGGACCGGGCCGGGTCAGCCGCAGGCCGGTTCAGTTGAATGATGTGTACGGGGATGAGGGGTTACAGCAGGCGAAGGGACAGAATGCTGGAAGCGCTGTGGCAGTACTTCCACAAGCTGGACGGGAACGTGTGCCTGCAATGGACTGTTCCCCATCCGGCTAGACCCAACAACCAGTTTGTACAGGTACGTGTCGAGCAGTGGAAGAGAGAGGAGAGAGTAGACGGGAGGGAGGCTGGGGAAGAACGGTAGGAGACCATAGGTGGTGAGAGAGGGTTGTGGAGTAGGGCAGTTAGGAGGTGCCAAGGTGAAGGGAGTGGATAGAAGTGATTGAAATTAAGCACTCACAGATGAAATGTAGGGAGGTTATGGAGGAAGGACTTAGAAGGGGGGCGGGGGGGCGGGGGGCAATGAAGAAAGACACTTTGATTAGATGTTCAGAAGGAATGTGACAAGCGCTAGAGCTGAAGATATAACAACATCGCTTGTTCCCTGGTCTGACAAGAGACTTTACAGTTCATGAATCAAGATTATGTTGGTCAGTCCAAAGGAAGATGCAGCACGGCAGGGTTCGACAAGAACGAGCTCAAATTCTCTGCTTATGTGAAGCAGCCAAACCCCTTTCAACCTAAGGAAGAGCAAGATCCTGAGGTACATTTAGCATAGAATAAACAAAGAATATACAGTGATGCACTTGATGTTGATATCTTGACACTTGATGTTGATCTTTTGACACTTGATGTTGATCTCTTGACATGTTCAAGATAAGTTCTCTTGACATGTTCTAGATAAGTTCTCACTGCACTTTCTTGCACAACTGTTACACTGCAAGGGAGTCCTAGTTACTTTTAAATTCATGTATTATACACAGCAAGTCAATGCAGGATGGCAAGTTGTGAGGGAAAGGGATCATCGTGCCCAGGAAGGAATCAACTCAGTCGTCTCCAGGCGACGAGTGCATGAAAGATCAGTTGTCTTAACCGAAATAGGATTCATGGCCAGCGGCTGCACAGGAAAAGGGAGTAAGAATTCGTTATCAAAATGGATGCAGAAGAATCACATGAGTGGAGATGCCTCGGGAGATAGCGGTCAAGCCGAATGTGCTTGAGGTCAATCAGCGATCAAGGATGAGAGGAAAAGTGAATTGTCACCTCCCGTGGGTCAAGACAGCGTCCGCAGCCTCGGCCATCATGAACCAGTCGAGCAGGGCGAGCTGAAAGACTGTGAGGAGGCAGCGATACTTGATACGAGCAGTCACACCTCCCATGGCGACCTCAACGACCCCTGCAGGCTCGAGTGAAGGAAGCACAACCTCCTGCTGGCCTCTCCCTCCAACTTCCTCCGGAGGCTCTCAAGCCGCTGCCCCGTCATCCTTGAGCGGTGCAGGGGCCAAGACAAGCAGCACAAGCAGCACCTGAGGGTCATCTGTCGAGACGTAGACTGTTGTCAGGTTGCTCGTAGCGATGCGCAACGTCAGGCAGGTCATGAACGTCATGTCGCCTGCCGGTGCTCGTCACATCCACCAGCGCCAAAGGCTTCTGAGTTACCGTCATTGTCGAGATACGAGTAGCTGTCGACCTGCTGTCCCTCCTCCACCAGCGCTGCTCCGGCGTGCGATCTCGTTCCCGTGCGCAGCGCAACACCGAGGAAAGGGATGGAAGAACCCTGCCCTTTCTTCCAACATGCAGCAGCGCTCTGCTTCAGGTCGTCCATGGCGGCGGATATCTTCCCTGCTGCCTGTCAGGGGATGTGGTGAGGACGGTCAACATGCTCACTGGAAGGTTGTAGCAGGGACTTGAGAACACACCCAGCGACCCTCATCGAGTCAGACGCATCGACCTTGCAAAGTCGTGCAGCCCACTGGTAATCCTGGAAAGAGATTTCAACTCCAATTCCCCCCCCCCCCCCCCCCCCCCGACTCTCTACCCTCGCTCCATCCTTGCTCTGTCCAGTCCCCTCCCCTTCAACTTGTCCGTCCTTGCTAACTGCTCCTGCTCGAACCTCTAAGGTGCCGAGAGCGAGTAGGAACGATCCAAGGCTCTGGTACCAGACCACGGAAGGGCCGCCGACTCGCTTGTCCCCATCATGCAGCCTGCAATCGCGTCATCCAGAAGCCTTCCTGCTACCGGCCTGTCACCTGGACCCGTGAAAGCTGCACTCTGTCCCTTCCCCACACGTCAGCAGAAGTTTCCCTAGCCTAGAAAGGCCGTCAGCTGACAGCGACGCTGCTCGAGGAGCCTCGCCTTGTGAAAAGGGGCATCGGAGTTCTGAGAAGCAGGGTGCCTGCCAGAGGTTCACTGTAAGAAGCACAACATGGCAGGACGCACTTGATCGCGCATCATACAACCACTGAGATGAAGAACAGTTACACAACTTCTCTTCGTTAGTTGTCTTGGTCGCCCGGATCGCGGCATCATCGCACATAAAGTCGTTTGTGCCCTCTAGAGGGTCTTTGCAAGCTTCAACCATTCTGTCCCAAGGTCGAGCCATTCCTAGGCGTTCAAGTTGATTCCAGTCCCAAAAGATTGGGAGAGGAGCGAACCCCGCCGTCAGATTAGGAGACCCTGACCAGTCAAGGACGAGGAAACGCTTCATGCATAGTTACAATGAAAGAAGACGACGGGGAAAAGGAGGGGAAGTATCGAAAGAGGGAGATGGGGGGAGAGGGGGGAAGGAAAGGCGGGGATTTGATGGAGAAAGAGGGAAGGAGGGAGAAAGAAAATCACCTCAGTGTGCATGGCAAACAACAACACAGAGGAAAGGACGAGAGCTCTGCAGTACAAGGTGTAAACTGCAAAAGGGAGGAGAGAAGGGATTCAAACCTGTTACCCCATCCTTCTGCTCCTGGCGTGTAGACGAGGAAACGAGTTTGGGTGAGTCTATTGTGACCTTCCCGTCTCCATTCCTTGATCTGCGACAGCTGCCGACATGATGGGTCTGAGTGGTGCACGGGATTGCTGGAGGGATCAAACCTGCCATTGTTGATATCTGCGTATCGAGGAAGCCATGTCCGAGGATGCTGCAACCCAAGGAGGCACGTTGGTCTATTGAGGACGTAGCAAAGTCAATCATGCAAGATTCGTTTGAGGGGATGATGCAGTTGCAAGGTCATACCAAAATCTGCGGGTTGTCTTTCTCCGTGGTGATCTTCAAGAGAGATTTTTCGTGGAACAACCGCATTGCAGTGTTCATGCAAACCTGCAAAATAGATGAAAGACAGGATACATCGCAAGATAGATACCTCCGCAAAGACCACTTTCCTGCTACCATTCCATCTAGAAAGCCTTGAAAACAATTTCCCCAGCAAGTACCATACAGCATCTGACTCTACCTCATGGCTCAACAAATTCTTGATTGCGAATCAATCAGTTGGAGAAACAGATCAGATGTTCATCGGGATGTTGACTACCTTAGAATGATGAGTCAACGACTTGTAGAACTCGTCCGTTTGAGCGTTTGTCATTTCTGTGCTATCAAACATGCCGTCATTGCAAGCATTGTTGCGAAAACTTACTTGTGCTGCAGACTGATTGCAATGAGATATAGATATCTTGCACGATTCAGCTCTTGTACTCTTGATGCTTCGCAAGATTCGCTTCAACAACACACGAAATCTCAACTATCACCAAAAGATCGACAGAAAACACTCCTCACCAACAATCATTTTCCAGACCGCCAATCGCAATCTCCAGATTCTGCACAGCATCTTTTGTTCGCCCTTCAGACAGCTGTGAGTTTCCCAGAAGCACCTGCACATCTTTTGACATGTCTGACTCCACAAGCACGGACTCCGAACCCACCAGCAGCGACCAGTGGCTGGGATCCAACCGGAGAGCTTCCTCGTAGACATGCGATGACAGGCTGATTCTCTTCTGTCCGCGTGTTCATCATGCAAGCATGATCAAGACACGCCAGGGGCTGACCTGAGCTATCCTCTCTGCTCGCACTAAATTCGCCTTGCGAATCATCTCCATCACCCTCGATCTTGCAATAGAGATTCCCATGGCGGCGGCTATCTGCAGAGACCATGTGAACGGAGCAGTCCAGACAAACGTAGCTATGACCTGCTTCAACTCCTCTATATCAGCACATATCGTCTCCCCTTCTACCGGATTCTTTCCCCCTGTTCCCTGTTCAGTCAACTTCAACAAAGCGGTGCTCTTGTTCTACCTGCAAAAAGAACTTTTGAAGCCACTTCGATGATGGCCTGAGAAAGAAGTTCAGTAGGGAACAGCATACGATAATGGCACAATCACATTCGGATGCGTGCGAGGGAAGTCAAGAATCACAAATTGATCCAGCAAATCTCTTGAAGCAAGTGAGAATCAGCGAGCAAGAAGGGTTCGTTCCTTGATGGTGAGAAACTAGCGCAACTTTACCTGTCAAGAACAAACTTGTTCTCCGTCAAGCAGCTTGGTAGTAGCGCATAAGTATTGTCGACGAGCGTAGGTAGCAGGAAACAAAGGCAAACAGCCCAGCAGAAGCTGTTCCCACTTTGGCAATTAGAAGAGGGATCATACTGGAAAGAGCGAAAGGACCCAAAAGAACAAAACAAGAGGAGGAGGCAGGAAATAGTTACCTTCCTCGATGGACAATAAAGATTCGAATGTTCTCCTTCAGGTTGGGTTTGTTCAGCATGCTCGCCGCCGCCGCCGCCGCCTGCTCAACCTACGCTCGGACTACCCGACAGGCATGTTTTGACTTCGGGAATGAGGGGGATGAATGGGATGGGACTGAGTGGAGATGAGGCTTGTGAACTGGGATAGACAAAAAAGGTTACAGGGGTGAGTTCAAAGATGGGGGGTGGGGTGAACACAATCTTGATAAATGAGGGGTGATTTCATAGCATGTCTTATGGAAAATATGGGGTGATGTTTTAAAGGGGTGGGTACCAAAGATCCTCGCTTCAGTTAGCCGTCCATTTTTTTGTAGTCCGCTCGGTTGATCAACCATGCGAGGAAAAGCGCAAGAGCGTTGGAGAGAAGAGAGAGGAGGGAGGGAGGATGAGAGAGCAGGCAGGAATGATTGAGCGAGGAGGGCAGTGAGAGACGGGCACCATACAGAGATGGAGAACGAATGAGTCGCAAAGAGGAGATGAATGGAGAGGACGGGGTGGGTGGACGGTGATTCATGAATATCGACAGCGAAGACTTGGTGGGTGATAGGAAGATCGAAGAAAGAGGGGAGGGGAGGCGACAGTTGCCAAACGTGAAAATTTAACAATGCTAAACGAAAAGCGAAGAAAATGCGAGAGTTCGAGGGAAGAAAGAAACTCACAACTGCTTGCGATTGCATTATACAGCATGCGTTGACGAGACAAACTGAAAAATTATTGTTCTCCAACCGCAAATAGCAGCCTGATGAGGCAATGTTTGACGTTGAGTTGTGGGTGAGGAAAGGGGGTCCTGATATGTAAGATCTTACCTTTGTCAATCATCCATTATCAACAATCTTCGATGCATCAACTTCTTTTTGAGGTGTTTGTTGCCCTCCTCCACCACTTGTTGTTCATTCAAGTGTGTTGATTGATAAGAGCGCTTCATTGTGTCTTTATTTCATTGTTGCTCCTTATTTGAGGAGAACCTCTCCAGCAATATCTTGACTGATTGCTAGTTGTAGCAGGTTATACACACTTTAAACGAGGGAGAAAGATATGGTGCTACGCATCAATTATTCGAGAACAATCTTGCAGCTAGTTCTGGTCTTGTTGGCTCTATCTTCATCTCACGCGGCAAGACGATATCGAAGGCACAAGACCGGGCCATCACAGGTTGGGTGGAGTGTCACTTGATCATGTCGTTTGCTCATTGGGTCACTTGCAGGAATCATTGATGAAAGCAGCAGAAAGACGCTGCGCGCAACTTCAGTGCTCTGATCTTGATCAGTATCAGAGACAGGCGTGTATTTTTAAGTGTATATCAGGCAGGTGCTACGATGTAGTTTTTGGGCAAGATGAGGTTCGACGATTGTTTTCGAATTCTGTTGTTTTTCACACGTGTCAAAACAGATAGAAGAAGGAGAGTTTTTGGATGAACGAATCAAAGTTTTCAAGCAATGTTACAGAAATCCAAATTTTGACTCGAGAACGATGTCCTAGAGGACATGATTAGATTAGGTTGCCAGGTGAAAATTATGTTTATCTCATGTTTATGTGTTTCAATCAACTGTGTATTTTGTACTTCAATGAAGATTTCATGTGTTCTTTGGTTTGTCCGATCTTTTGATCGCACACGGCGGTGACTCAGTGACGGCCCGGTCGCCGATCCGCAGGCCGGGAACGGTTACACTTCCGAACTGAAATGAAAACTACCGTTGCGACCGGGTGGAATGCCGATGCCATCATGGCGCAGACAATCCTCAGACGGATCGAAGGAGTTGCTAGTAGAAGCAGCCGCTTAGCGGCAGAGTGAGCTCTCAGTGACATTCTTAGCACCTGCAGCAAACTTTGCAGAGTCTGCCACATCAGCAGATTCGGAGACAGGCAGATGTACTGAGAAGGCAGTTTGGGAGCGGCTGAAGAAGCCTTCTCCGTTGCGTCCTGATCAGGTTTCCTCTGACTAATCTCTTGCATTTCCCACAGACGCTAGCAACATGAGCTCTGAAATTCGTGGAATATGTAGCCAGTGCAGGCACCCTGTAAGTTTCATTTTACTCTCCTCAACAAAATCAATGAATCTGAGTTGTGGATCGAAAACGACCAAATATTGCGGCAGGTGCATGCAAATCAATTGCGGGTATCCGAAGAGGGCAGCTACATGCACAAAGATTGTTACGATCAACGCAATGAGATCATGATGAGACTGCGAGAGGGTGGTGACTCAAACGTGCAAAATTCCAACGCACTTGACGCTGGTCAAAATTTCGAATACCGCGGACTCTGTGGAGTTTGTGGCCATGAGGTGAGCGAGCGAGAGTGAAATATTGGCAAAGACAACTTCACTGCTTACGCGCTGGACCATCAGGTGTATACAAATCAGCTGCGTGTCGGTCAAGAAGGCAAGTACTTTCACAAATCCTGCTTTGATGAAGTCGCTTCGAAGACCCCCGAGCAGAATCAACCCATCAGCGATGCGAGAAAAGATGAAGAATATTTCGTTTAAACGTGTAAGTTATGTTGTCCATGATGAATAAGACCCCATTATTTAGGTAGGGGTCAAAGAATGAAAGAAACAAGATATTTTCACACACGTTTCAATCCACTCATCGACAGAAGAAAGTCTATCTTAGTGATGCCAAGTTGAAGCGAATGTTTCTAGTAAACACGCTTGGCAGGGGGAACAGGAGAATTGTCAGGCTCGCGCACAGTTGTACCTACAGGTCTGTAGTCGAGAGTTACCTGTACCTGTGTCAGAGGACAGCATTCAATGCGCGATAGAGGGAGCACCTTTCCCTTGCTGTCAATCCATCCTACAGTATGCTTCATCCAGTTTGTGTCATCACGCTCAGGGAAGTCCTCCCTGGCATGAGCTCCGCGAGATTCCTTTCTTGCCTCCGCACCATACCTGTCCACATCCAGTCATCCGCCAAAGATATATCCTGTATCTATCTTTGTACATGGTGATCATTGCATTGTCCAGGATGTTCTGCAACTCCAAAGTTTCGATCAGGTCAGTATTCCAGATCAAGCTGCGGTCGGTGATCTATTGAAGATAGAAAGCCATATGTAAGAAGAAACTCATTAGAATCAAAAGGTACTACCTTGACATCTTGGAACTGTTTGTAATGCTCAGTGACAGCCTTGACTCCGTTTTCCAGAGAGGTCCTGTTGAACCAATAAATACAAATCATCAAACGAAAAAGGCTATAATTACTGAGTTCTGAAAACAGCAGCATCACGCTGCATAGTCTTCTGAAGGCCTAATCTGCACTCCGCTGTCTTCAAAGAGCCATTCGAATAGCGCAACTGAAATAAGGATCAGTTCCCGAGGGCAACGCCGATTTACAATTCGAACAGAACCTTGTCCAGGTTTGCAATCGACTGCTCTCCGGCATTTGCAGGAAGGGGCTTATGTTTCTCTCCCGGCTTGCTATTCTCACTGACGTGGAGCGCAGCAGCACGGCCGAACACCACGATGTCAAGAAGGGAGTTGGCTCCCAAGCGGTTTGCTCCGTGGACGGACGCACAGCCACACTCTCCCGCAGCATATAGACCAGGAACAATGGAAGAGTTATCGTTGCCCTGATCAGCAGTCAACAACCCCGTTCAATTCATCCAGCTTGAACCACCTTCTTCGTGACGACTTGGCCATACTGGTTCGTTGGGATACCGCCCATGTTGTAATGAACGGTGGGACAAACAGGAATAGGTTGCTTGGTAACGTCCACGCCCGCAAAAATGGAGGCAGTCTCCGAAATGCCAGGCAATCTCTCATGAAGCACCTTCCCAAAGCAGTCACATGTCTTCAACAATCCTTGAATGAACCAACCTCTGGAGGAAGATGATCAAGATGCAGGTGAATCCACTCTCCGTTAGGACCGCAGCCGCGACCTTCACGAATCTCGATGGTCATGGACCTCGAGACAACGTCCCTTGAGGCCAAATCCTTGGCAGTTGGCGCATACCTTGATTCAGCTGATCAGAGAATTGAGAAATACAGGGGTTTAGAAGCCAACCTCTCCATGAACCTTTCGCCGTCCTTATTACGAAGGATTCCACCCTCACCACGGCAACCTTCAGTCATCAAACAACCAGCACCTGGAACTTTGCTTCAGCCGTGTTACTCATCGGCATCCAAGGTCACCATAAATGCCCGTGGGATGGAATTGCACAAATTCAAGATCCTGAAGAGGGAGACCAGCACGAGTCGCCATAGCATTGCCATCACCAGTGCAAGTATGGGCTGATGTGGCAGAGAACCATGCTCTGCCGTAGCCGCCGGTAGCAAGAACGGTGTTGTGAGCTCTGCATCAGTTCAAGTCAAATCCAAGATCTAAATACGTCAATCGCTGACCTGAATCGATGAAGAGTTCCATCCTCCATGCAAAGAGCAAGTACCTACACACTCACTCAGATACACCACACTACAAATGCTAATGACATACGCCACGGCAGCTTCCATCATCATCCATGATGAGGTCGAGCGCAAAGTATTCAACGAAGAACATCGTGTTATATCTCAGCGCCTGTTTTCGAACATTATTGTTGTGCATGAAAAACTTATCCATTCGTACCTGTCCATACAAAGTGTGGAGCATGGAGTGCCCAGTTCGGTCAGCAACTGCAGCACAGCGGTACGCTTGTCCTCCCTTGCCAAACTTGAGGGACTGCCCACCAAATGCGCGCTGATAGATCTTTCCCTCGTCTGTCCTTGAGAAGGGCATGCCGTAAGCTTCCAATTCTATCACTGCACGAGGGGCTTCCTTGCACATGTACTCAATCGCGTCCTACAACGGAATGTGAGGTGTTGCTAAGAGAACCGGCACTGGATCAACCTGATCACCAAGCCAGTCAGAGCCCTTGACCGTGTCGTAGAAATGCCATCTCCAATCATCCTCGGTCATGTTCCCGAGAGCTGCATTGATACCACCCTGTGCAGCAACAGTGTGCGAACGAGTGGGGAAAAGCTTGGTGATGCAAGCGACGTTGAAACCATTCTCAGCAAAGCCCACAGCTGCACGAAGACCAGCACCTCCAGCACCGACGACGACAGCATCATAGGTGTGATCCACGATGTGATACTTTCCCTGGCTGTCTGCTTGACTGCCTTGAGGGCTTGCTTTCCCAAAAATCCCTCGGACAACCCTCGACGAGTGAAACTGTATCAACGGTAAGGACAAGACAAAGCCAGAGATTTACACATGTTTTTGATAGCTACTGTACATTTTGGTTGAACATATCGACATAAGAGCTGTATAGTCTAACTGAATCCTGATCCCATTGCTCTTGTGAGCTGATACTCTCCATCAAAGCCCATTCCCAATGGGATGTACCCCTTCCCGTTTTGCCCCCTTTCTACCTTCCGTGCCGAACTACTGCAAACATGCATCCAACCACCACAATGGGTGAGTGATACAGATACGAAACATCCTACTGAGCTCAAGACCTCCCCCATTGTTCCTCACCTGCCGTGCGTGATTGCCAAGACGCTGACTGACGCGGCGAAGCATGGCAGCGGACGGAGGCGCTATGCCTCTAACCCCTCCGACTACCCCATTGTTCTCTGGTCCCGATGGGGGTATTGCTTTTCATCGGGGGTGGGTACCATTTAGGGGTGTAGCAGCTCCTTGTCACCTACCCTCCCTAGGAAATCAGGGGGTACTTCAAGCTAAATACACCGGTGCATTTTACCACCATATCGAAAGGCTACCCGGAAGAGCATTCGGGTATGCTCGTTTTGGACCTACCCTGCTCTTACCTGTGATTGTGTTGGAAATGTACCGGTAGTCGACGGTCATGCAGCCGTAAGTGCCTAAAGGAAGGGGTACTTGATGAGGGTGGGGTATTTGAAATCCTTTGAGAAATGGTGGGTGGTCGAAGATTGAAAATAGCTCTGACCGGGTGGGTGCTTCTTGTAATGGGGTAGTCTTTCTGGTCCTAGGAAAGTCGTTGCTTGCTATGCATGGGTCGTAGCGTTTGGACACGCACCTGGTACCCCTTTATCGATGTTTCTTCACCCCACCCCCTTCACCTGAATAGCATGTGTCATCAGTTCCTAGGACCACATATCACTCTGGTCATAGTCATTTCCAATCCTTTCCTAAAGACACTGGTCATAGTGAGGAGCTATCGTAAGGCCTAGGAGAATAAAAAGGCAAGTTTGACTAAAATAATCTCTTACTGATGATTCTGAAGGGGCCCGGCTGGGCCCGGGCGCTCGAACTTCCCGAGACGGTCATCGGAACTCAGATTACTAGTAGAGGTCATGCCGGGGATGAGGGTACAGAGTTTTAGCGCGCGGCAAGAAGCAAGGGCAGGCAGCAGAATGCGCACGGAGGGAACAAGGAAAGGGAGGCAGGGGAGGGAGAAAGAGAAGAACAGGAAGACGGTACGAGAAGGATAGAAGGCAACAACAGGAAACATGACGGGGGAGATTGTCAAGGAGAAAGTACGATCTGAGGAGAGTAGGTCTAGTGAAAGTCGAACCTTTCTCCGGGCTCGTGGCTTCCTTGCAGAACCTTTCGGGGATGGCAAGTGGAGGATTCTATTCTCGTTTTTCTTCTGTGAGCCTACACTAATGCTATGTTTGAAGCTCAGGTCACAGGTCACGAGGTAGCATGAAGGACGAAGAGGCGGCCAATTCAACTGATCTGAGCCTCCTGGGCCTCGATCCCGGAAAACTCGTGTGGGGTCAGCTGGGAAAAATATGGTATCCAGCACGGGTGAGCTCTCCAATTTTGTTAAGTTCTGTCGTTGATTGGCTTCAGGTTGCTTGGAAGAAGAAAGCTCCACAGGATGTTGTGAAGTTGGAGAAGAGTGAAACGGTCCTAGTCCATTGGTTTGACAGATGGAGTGAAGTTCATAGCAAGCCAAGCATGTATTCTTGCCTTTGCTGCTCTTCAAGAATATAAAGATTATTTACGTCAAGTCAAGCTGATTAATTGTTTGTAGGTGGGCGTATGCTTGGTTACCAGTGTCAAAGATCAAGGATTTTGAAGGGTGCTTCGATTCCTTGAGCAAGTCCAAGAAATCAAAACAATTCGTCGAGATGATATCTGCTGCCCTCGATCTCTGCAAGAACTTCAAGCCTGATGGATGGGACGCAGGAGTTTCAGAACATCCCAAACAGGAAGTCAAAAAATCCAAGCCAAACAACAAGGCTTCAAAGCCAAAGCAAAAACCGCAGGAAGTGATAATAGGAACTGAAAGACAACAGATGAAAATTCTCGGGGCATCAGTGGAGAGCAAGTTAAGTGAGGATGACGAAGAAGAGGAAGAAGAGGAAGAAGACATTGAGGATGAGAAAGATAAAGAAACGAAGGAGTCCACAGAGGAGAAGAAATCAAGTGAGCAATCCAAGGGGTCGAAAACGTTAAGCGAACCATCAAAGAAATCAAAGAAGATTTCGGCTACAACACAAGAATCTAGGTCTGAGGACGAAGTTTCAGTAGCAGCAGCAGCACAAGAAGAAGAAGAAGACGAAGAAGAAGAAGAAGACGAAGAAGAAGAACACAAACCCTCCAAGAAATCGGCAAATAAACAGAAAGCGAAAGCTAAAGCTAACTTATCTAAGAAAGAGAAGTCAGCTTCTGAAAAGAAAACCAAGGAGAGCAAATCGAAAAGTAAAAATGCAACATCGAAGAAAGCTGAAAAGTCAAAGAAAGATAAAGGTGAAGGAAAAAAGAAAGGCCAAGCAGCTTCTACACAGGACACTGAGAAATCACTTGTGATCCCCGAGGCAGATTTAGTAGGCCTTAGCAGCGAGGAAGAAGGAGATGATGAGATGGAAGAAGCAACTACTTCTAAGGAAAGAGACCAACAGCCAGAAAAACTGGATTCCGGTGTTGCGATGAAAGATTCAGACAATTCAAAAACAAAGACAGACAGTTCAGGGTCGATGCGAGAAGGACAGGGAAGGAAAGATGTTGATGTCGGGGAGGCAGATGTGAAAGGAGAAGGGGAGGCTGGATCAAAAAGGAATCGAGATGAAGTATTGGACAGTGCAAGTGAAAGCGCTTCAAAATCTGATATTCAGGCCATGGACCTCAAGAAACGTCGGCTGGCGCAATGGTCAGCTACAGCGACAGAAGAACCCAAAGTGGAGGCACCTACACCCAAACCAATCGACGTTGAACGATGCCGCTTGTTTCTCGGTTTTGTCTGCTTCTCAGTTGATGGCTTTCCCTAACAGCATGCCAGGAAATCTTCCCCACGGAACCACTCAAGAGCGAATTATGCAACACATCAAGTCGTTAGGGTTGCTCGACTGTCTTGATAAGGTTACATTGTTGAGGATCTACAAGACAGTGTGGACTGAATTTTCTTGACAGATTTTTCATACCCCTGGAAAGCGATTTGGTTTCATCGCCTTAAAGAACTTTGAGAGCACCGTGCGCGCAAAAAAGGTGACAAAATGAATGAAGTGGTTTTGTTTGTTGCTGAAATTGTGTTCCAGACTCTGGAAGATTCGAGGTTTGATGGCACGAGAATCAAAGTTGAATATCCGAAAGATTCATTCATACACTCACAATCAAGTCAAGCTCCACCAAGTGTTGAGCAGAGATCTTCACAACCCGTTCCAAGCAGAAATGGTGCAACGCGCGATCCTGAAACCTCCATTGGTTCCATTGAATCCATACGGAATACTTTAGCTCAGCAGGTCGAACAGCAACGACAACAGGTCCTTTCCCTTTCTTCCGTGTATATTTCTCACTTGCGAGACAGCTCTTGGCCAAACAAAGAGAGAATCTGAAGAACGAAGTCTCTATGATGAACCCGCCGCCTTATGCCCACGAGCCGCCCAAAGGCCCCATCCATGCTTCCGTTGACCCTCGTTCAAACGTCATGGATCCAAGACTGAAGTCTGCAGGCTCACAGGTGCAAGATCCAAGAATGTCGTCAGGAGCAGTTGACCCTAGGAAGAATCCTGCCTACGAACCGCCTGCTTCGTCTGCCATGAACCGACAATCTTTCCCGATACCTGACAGAAAACCCGAGCCTCCCATGCCATATCAGCAGATGCCGCCGGCTCCGCCAGCAAATTCTTCCAACAAACTTGACTTCTCCAACGACCAAGACTCGGCAGCTGCTGTACTCCAGATGCTGCAGGACATCGCAGCTTCGATGCCCCAGGCCCAGCATCAGGATTTTGCGGGAGAGATGCAGCAGCATAGCCATCAACCCGAGTATCCAAGCCAGGCACGGCAACCACTCCCTCCCTACGGACATCCCAGCCAGGGAGCTATGAACGTGCCACCTGGTCAGCGGGGCCACATGGGCCCTCCCCCGCACGTGCCCCCACCTCACAACGAGGCCTCAGGTCCGATGCCAGGAGGATGGGATGACAGGAGCAGAGAACCTTACTACCAACAGAACGCTTCCTACTACAACCCTGGGTCTGACGCTTGGAGGGATCGGCGTCATCCCTTCCCTCCACATGATGCCATGGATGGATATCCTCCAGAGAGCGACAGAGGGAGGGGCCACATGCATCAAAGAGAACATCCGAGGGAGGTTGTGATGCATGTACCTGCACAGCTCACTGGCATGTTGATCGGTCAGTCCGGTTCCACGATCCGGATTCTGCAGAAGGAGGCTTCCGATATAGGATGCCACATCGAACTGAAGCAGAACAAGCCTCCTCCCGAGGGGAATGGGGCCGGAAATTTGATCATCCATGGTTCACATGGAGATGATGTGAAGAGGGTGCGGCTGCGGATAAGCGCATTGTTGAACGAGGCTGAGCGGACAGGCACAATCAATCTTCGTGGGTTGTAAAAGAATTCATCGTTATATCAACGACCCCTTGCACTGTTGACTATCAACAGAGCAGGATTTCCTCCGTTCACATTTGCTTCTGAATTTCTGTTGCACGCTCAACATATTATCGGTAGCAAGGCAGTGTTGACGTATGAATAAAAGAACGAAGGCAAAGTGAAAGAAAGTGCGCTTTATTCTAATGAACATTTTTTAGGGTAGTCTATCCTAAGAAAGCAACTTGTCCTTTTTCATAACGGGCTTGTACACTCCAGCTTTCGCTAGAAGGCGGAGGGTAGATGTTGTTGCGCAGCTCCTTTCGCTCTTGAAGTTCACAAACTCACTTGCTGGGAAATCACATTTCTGGCTCTCGCAGGGTTTACATGCGGCAGAAGAGTTGTATTCGACATTGCATGACGATGCCGTTTCATCAAGCAGCTCAAACTTGTCCGCGACGGTGTCTGACTTGATCTTGTCCAGGACCTGATCTTGGTACGAGTCCAACCAAAGGCTGTCTTCCATCATCGCCATGTACATCCAGTCATGCTGGCTGCGTTTGCCATTTGTCTCATCAAGCTGGACCTGCTCTCTGATTCCTTTGAGCAACTCGCGCTTCTTGGAAATGAGCCTGTCACTGACTCCAGGATGGGCAGCTTTGTTCCCCTTGTTCATATCGGTAGAGAAAGTTGCGAGCAATGAAAGCGAGTAATCGAGTACAATTGTACGTTGAAACACAGAAGAGAGGGAGGAACGATGGGAACAGGAGGTCAAAAGGTGCTGATAAAGAGGATGGAGGGCGCGTCAGGGAGGTGTAAATATGGGAAAAGGCGGGGGGGGGAAGGAACATAAATTCAGGGAGGATTGGCCAGGTAGACACGGGGAGGGACACTTGATCCACCCTACCCTCGGGGTAAATTCCTGATTTCAAACCCCTCTTCTTTAGTTTATGGGGACCTTCATGAGGGTGGTGGGGTGGAAAGGTGTAGGGTACCTTGTGAGCAGGGGTGGATCTCCTGTCCAATGGTGGTCACATGCACCACGTCCCTTGTGACCACCTGATGACAGTACCCACCCCTGAGGTTCAACAGGAGTACCCCTTACCTCTATCGACCCACACGATCTGGTACAAATGAACCCCCTTTGATCCATGTCAAAACCACCCCCGGGAGAGCGAAAACGGTATCTAGTGCTAATCTCCGGTGGCATGATCACCCCTTGAAGTTTTACCACATGTCAGCACGGCCACTGGAGGACTAAGAATTAGAACGTTTCGTATTGTTGCGGGAGCTTCTTAGAAGCTCAGACTGATCACTGAAGACCGCATCGTTTGGCATTGTTGTGGGACAATTTATCAATAAAACTTTTTTTTGTCCTCCCCTCGTTTTGGGCGAACGTTGACAGATTTGAAATCTGGATGGAAGGTTTGAACAGGATTTGGAAGATAAGAAATCCGCATCGCTTGGCATTGTTGTGGGACAATTTATCAATAAAACTTTTTTTTCCCTCTTCTCCCCTCGTTTGGGGCGAAGATCTACAGATTTGAAATATGGGTGGGTAATTTGAACAGGATTTGGGAGATAAGAAATCCGCATCGCTTGGCATTGTTGTGGGAAGAGAGATTGAATAAAACTTTTTTTTCCTCTTCTCCCCTCGTTTGGGGCAAAGATCTACAGATTTGAAATATGGGTGGGTAATTTGAAAAGGATTTGGGAGATAAGAAATCCGCATCGCTTGGCATTGTTGTGGGGAGATTTATCAAATGCCGGATGTTTGAGGGGGAGCACCTCAAACATTGTCCAGGGGGGAGGTACCCCCCTAGACATTTCACTATGCATATTCTGGTAAAATGGTAGGTGAGGGTACTCAAGGAGCTAAACAGGGTGGGTGGTGGTTCCCCCGGGAAAGTGAAAAAATGGAGAGAAGCTCAATCCTGCATAACCCCACCCCACAAATAAAGGAGAATTCATAGTATTTCGATGGGGTGGTGACAGACCAAGTGTTTGTTTAGTCTAACATGAAAACTCTGGGCTCACCTCATCAATTGATTCAAGAAACCCTGGGGGCAGAATGCAACCAAAGTCGATGTAATGGCGATCACCAGAGCAACATGGCGGGAGGGGGCGCAACTATGAGCGATGGCTGGACGACCTCAACGAGCATGGAGGAGGGTCTTTCTTCTCGTCCTCTGCCTTGTTGCCTGGTGCAATGACCACTGCACCACGTCGACCACTGCATCTCTTCCTCCGCAGCGTGGATCCTGGCAGGGTGGGGAAAGAGCGTTCAAGAGGTTGTTGCTGCGAGGAGGGATGGGAGTGGACAGCCTGTTCGGCCTCAAGAGCTTGCCGATATCGCCACAAGATGAGGGTTATATGCCATTTTTGAAGCACGTGCTTGAAATGGACGACGAGGAAGAGATAAAAGAATTTATGAAAGATTTCCCCAGTGATATCCGGGATTACGACCTGCCATCGGAGATTGAAGATGACGACGACAAGGGATTTGAGAGTGGCAACAATCCCAAGTACGCTAAGGGAGAAAAGATGCATGAATACACCAAGAACGAGGTCTTGGCGAACAAGGTGCCCGACCCCACTATCCGTCCGAGCAAGTGACATTGGTTTCGCAATAGCTCCTTTGGGTTTCTGCGATGAACGGTGATCTGGTCCAGGCATCCCAACTGCTAACTTGTGCAACTGCCCATGAGTCTTGATGCTCTCAGGTGAAGAGGGCGATAGAGGACCTTGGCGCCATCGTAGACTCGTCCAACCGCAAGTGGAAGCACTTCCGTGCGCTGCATTACGCTGCGACTTTCAATCGCTCTGCTGTTGTAAGAAGTTCATTTGTCATGGATCCGACGTCATGCCTTACCGACAGGCGCTGTTGCTGATAGAGGACTACGGTGCAGTGGTGGATGTGCAAGACACCGAGGGCTTCACCCCATTGCTGAGGTGAGCGAGTCGTGCGTCATGGGAGGTGATGTTGCTGCAGGGCCGTCAAGTTTGGCAACCTGGAAGTTTGCAAGGTGAAGGCGATGAAGCTGTCTTGTTTGTATGACCGTGTTCAGATTTTGGTCAAGTTCGGGGCGATGCCGATCGTGTGGACGAGGAACCACTGGAATGGTTTTGATCTCGCGATGATGACGGAGAACGAAGAAATTATGAAATTCCTGCAACTCGCCATGGTCTACCATTTCAAGAACAGCACGTGAGAAGCGATGCAATGCTTTGATTGCCTTCGTCCAATGCTTGCCGCAGGGATGGATATGAGAGTTATTCGGGGGACATGGCGATGTATCCACGAGGGGATATAACGAACTTGACGAACAAGGAGATTATCACCCTTGCTGCCAAGCAGCGAGAGAGCAAGCGAGCGGAGATACGGCAGTACCTTGCAAGTTTGCTGCCTCCAGGAAAGCTTCCTCGGCATTACAGGAAGCGTCAGTTTCCTCTTGTCAACGCTTCCAAGGTGACAGTACGCGAGATCGAGAAATTGACGCGGAAGCTGAGGATGTGAGCGAGGGAGTTTCAAGGGGCGATGCAGGCGAGAGGCATCTCAAGAAAAATCGAAATTTACGAAAGAACATCTGCTAGTGTACAGGCGAGCTGGGCCCGAATATTTTGAATCCAGCCGCGACATGATTCCATCAACTTCGTTGCACGATTCGGCATGCTGGAAAGCTGAAATCGCGGAGCGAGTCTGAACAATGGTTGAACTTGTCACTGAATCCAGACATTGCAAGTGCTGTCTGGGACAGTGCAGTTAAAGAAGTGCTGCAAGCAGCCCGCAAGAGAGGAGTCGTCCCTGATCCTGATACCGTCATAGGCAGGATTGCCCCGGAGAGCTGGCTGTAGTTGCTGGAAGAGAGACGGGGAGGGAGGAGGAGATTCTGTAAAGAATCATGAAGACGCGTATGTCGATGTGATCTTGACAGTGTTCTGACACACTGGAATGACGTAAGCAAAGTCAGTTGCTCGAAGCTTCAGGTCCGAGGGAGGGTTGGTGACCACATATAGCTGCCCAGGCATGTCAGGACGGAACGAGGGCGGGGCGAGGGCTTACCTGTCTTGAGTAACCCTGCGATAATCTGTACAGCCCAATGACAATGTCACCCGTCTCCTCAAGATGCTTGTCGAAGAACTCGCCGAAAGTCCTCTCGGCATGGTGAGAGATCGAGATGAGTTTGACGGCAGCGTCGTGCTTGCTGTCCTCTGCCCCTCGTCCCAGGAGGATGCCATTGAGGATGGACATGATGTAAGGGTTGAAGTACTGCTGGCACATGACAAGGTCCAGCAGGACCGTTATGACCGTGCAACCTGCCACGTAGCTGCTGTCGAGGTGCTGGAAGCCGTTCCTGATGTTGAACGCCTCCTTCTCCACCTCATCTCTGCTCATGATGATGGTCGAGTCATCCATGTGGTAGAGGGTTTCTGCGCTCGCCCGTATGTTGCTGGCGTCCATCGGGAAACCTCCCTGGGTCAGCTCGGAGACCAGAATCGTCCTGGCCCGGTTCAGCCCCAGCGCATTCGCCGTGATGACTCCTTGCATGACCGACGAGTCCGCAAGGTGACGCGACTTGGAGAGTTTCTCCAGGTCTGCACAGAAGAGGACCGCCCTTGCGCGCAAGATTCCCGCTCTCAGCAGGAGATCGGCATAAGAGAACCCGGACATAGCATGTTTCTCTATGATCCAGACTCGGTGGTACTGGTTCACCTCGTACCATTCCCTCGGGCTGGGCAGCTTCTCCGTAAGGAACACAACGATAGGGCAGTCCTGCAGGGAGGTGTAGAGCGGTTTGAGCAAGTACTGCATGTCGTCCATGTCTGACGTCACTACGATTACGTGGTTCTCGACCCTCGCGTCCACCTCGTGCACGATGTGCGTCGAGAGCGAGCGGTCGATAGGCATTGAGAACGGATCCTGCACGCCGATGTTGACCTGCTCGAGGAGGAAAATCTCCATGTTTCTCAGGAGCTCGCTGCTGACCATCGGGTAGACTTTCCTCATCTGCTCAACCAGACCCTTGGCAGTCTTGTCTATCGCAGGGTCCAGCTCTGAGACCTTGGGGAGGGATCTCTTCAGCAGCCTTTGCCCTGAGTCCGTCCTTGTCAATGCCTTCATCATGCTCGTCTCCTCGTGAGGAGCGTCCGCGCCCTCAAGCTGCGCAGCTGCAGCCTCGGACCCTCTTCTCGCCCCCTCCGCACCCTCGATTGCTCCCTCGACCGGCAATCCCACAGCAGGAGACACTTTCTGCTTCCTCATCGAGCTCTTCCGCCCGAAGAGTCGAAGTTCCTCCTTGCGAGTCTCAACAGCCTCGAACTTGTCGAGGGCCCTTGCTTCATCTGCGAATGCGAAGAGGATGTCGCCCGGCTTGATCCGATAGTCGGCTCCAGGGTTGAAGATGATTGTTGATACAGCCTCTGCAGCGTTGTTCGAAAGGAAAGACTTCTTCCTCGTCCTCTTGATTTGCTGCTGGGCAAGACTCTTCCTCCTGTTTGCGTGCGATAGGAGCAGGTCAACGCAAGCGATCGCTACAACGCATGCGTTCGCTTGGGACTTCACAAGCTTGACGAAGTCATGGTACTGATAACCGACATAATCCTTGTTGACCTGGAAGTTGTAAAGCTCCATCGTCATCCCTTCAGTGTACTCTTCGTGCCAAGACGTGAGCGTCAGGGACTGCCGCCAGGAAATCGACTGGATCATGTTGAGCAGCATTGTCGGGAGACCCGGGCAGGCGACTGACATTCCCAACAAGCTCAACCTCAACTGGTTGATGCACCTGAAGGAATCTGAGGTGAGGAAAGGAGGAAATAGACAGAGTGACTAAGTTACATAATGTTCGCACGGTCAACCCCGGCGTTGATCAGGAGCTCCAAGTTCTCAGGTTGCATGACTTGTGCAAAGATGTGTATCGAGGGGTTCGACCGTTTGGCCGTCAGCGCTCGCAGCGCCGTCAGCTGATCCTGTTCATCCTACTCAAACAAAGTCAGAGGGCCGACAGCGCCGCTGGACGGATGACCTGATCCCTTGCGCTCCTATCGGCCATGAGGAAGATAGCTTCCGCTTCGTCCACCTGGACCCGCGCGAGATCGTACGAGGAGGTTGCATCTCCTCGGATGTAGTGCAGCCTCTTCTTCGTGGCATACCTGGTCAAACCCACTCTCAGCCAACACAGGAGGAAGAGCAGGAGCAAACGGGGCCTCACTTGAGCAAGACCTGTCGCACTTCGTTGTTGGGAGGGCAGTCCACGAGGATCACGAGCTGAGGGGCAAACATCGTCTTCAAGGCATGGTCCTCATGGAAGAACTCGGTGATGAAGGCATGGAAGTCAACCTACAGAACACGTCACATGCGTGCGATCTTAAGTGCAGCCGGCAGGACTCGCCGATGGGTTGCAGGCCAGGATGACATGCGCTCGGTTGCTCTTCTTCACCCACACGCCGTCGAACTCCGACTGCAGCTCTCGCAGCTCGTGGAGCTTCTTGAACTGGTTTGGAACGACGTAGATGGTCAGCCCGATCATGACCAGCATCAGTATCCTGCTCATGGCTGTGATCGGCACGACATCCCCATAGCCGACAGTGGAGAAGGTGACCAAGGTGTAGTAGAGAGAATCGTGGAACATCATCCTCGTCTGACAGTTGGAAGCACCGAGCTGAGTCTGACCGAAGGGGAGGTCGCACAAGTAGACTCCCTTTCTTGAAGAATCCAACTTGCACATATTCGGGCAGGATATGCTGCATTCTGCTTCTGAGAAGAACTCACACTGTTGCGCTACCCCTGTCCATATTTCCCCCGTCTCGTTGGCGAGGTACTGCACAATGCCCGTGGTGACAACCAAGATGCACAAGACGATCGAGATAATGCGGATGGTCTGGCGCCGAATCGCATCGTCGGAAGAGGCAGATATCAACTCAAAGCTTCTGATCAAACGGATCAGACGAAGCACCCGGAAGAACCGCATCACTCGTGCAACTGCAAACAAACCAAATGACTCATCGCACTGATGGCCGAGCGCAGAGATCAAGAGGACAGGAAAGACTGTCACTATATCGACGAAGGATTGAAGACTAGTCAAGTACTTCAGCTTCTGCGAGCTGAGATAGAGATAGAAGGACCAATACACCCCGAAGAACGTGCTTAAGGTGATGTCAACGCTTCTTGTCCAATCACTATAGTTGACATATGTTGATATAACATAGAGCACACAAGAAATCCCCGACATCACTGCTGAGATCACCTCGATCGCAAACCCAATGCGAGACTGCAAGATGTATGTACTTGCTCGTTCGTTGAAAGGAATCCCCCTTCGAAAAGGGACCTTGGCAAAAAGGATTATCCATGGCAATAGACTTACAGCCAGGGAGGGGAAGAAGGAGTACAGGGCCCTCAACCTACATTCGCTCGGAGTAGCAACCATGTTGCGCTACAACAACAGTTGTTCAACTTAGAGATCGAGACGGAGCTGATCCTGCCTGTCCTCCACAATTTCTGCAGCTGTTGCTTGTCTTCTCAGGGAGTACATATTCATCGAGGGCAGTCTCCTCCTCCTCCCTGTTGGTCCTGCCACACCAACCGCCGACCGCTGCGCCGCGGTACCTGCATGGTTCTGGCTCAACTGGTACTCTCCATCAAAAGGACCCCTTCGTCTCGAAAGACTGGATCTACTACCCCACCCCACCCGCTCTGTTGTTAAGTTCTAAAAGGTCTAACATTTAAAAATACATTTTTAAATACAGGGTTTTGGTTCGAAGTACCCGTACTTGTACCCGGTCATACCAGTACCCGTACTCGTCCCCGGTCATACCACCCTAACTATGATCGTGTCACTTCACTATCCACCCCTCCCGGGCACTCTGCAGGTAATATATGACCCCACCCCTCGATGTACCCAAAAAAGCAAGTGAAAGTAGCGGAAGGTTGAGGGTCCGGGGGGTGGGGGTGGGGTACTGGTACGAGTAAAGCGACTCGACTCTTGAAGGGGGGCCATGATCTTTTTTTCTAGAAACGGGCATCACTCCCGAAGCCGCCGGGCCGGGCCGTCACTGAGTTGGTGCCGGGTCAGCGGGCCGGCACGCTGAAAGACTTGATACGGTCCTCCATCTTTCCTGGTTGCCCATTGTTTTCCCGCGCTCACGCCTCTGCCTATGGCGCATGAACTTTCAGCAGTTCCGCTGCCTCCAGGCTTGCGCGCTGCACTCATCAAGGCGGGTTTCCGTAGCACGTCAGACTTCGACGGAGTTTCGGTGATTGAGCTGGCAAGAGGTGAGGAAACCATGCACATGAAGCTGTTCGCACACGCATTTTCTGCAACAAATGAGTTGTTTGGTCAGAACAAACAGATTGATTTTCCTTTGTCACGTTGACACGTTGTTGAAAAATATTTCATGAATTGCTTACATATTTTATCTTTTAGAGGCTGGAATAAGTCACAACGATGCTCTTGCTGTCCTCAAAGCAGTACGAGGTCCACAAGATAGAAATCAGAGATCACTCGACACTTCATCCGTTACCAAACCTCCCCAAAAGTCCGCCTTAGATCTATTAGATGAAGTTAAAAGCATGCCCCACATCATAACATTTTGTTCCGACTTGGACAATATGCTTGGAGGGGGGATTGCCATGGGTGAGGTCACAGAATTTTGTGGAGTCCCAGGCATCGGCAAAACACAGCTTGGAATACAACTGGCTGTTGATGTTCATCTCCCAATGATATTCGGTGGAGCACAAGGCGAAGCAGTGTATGTGGATACCGAAGGTAGTTTTATGGCAGAAAGAGCTAACGATATCGCAAGTGCTTTTGTTAATCACGTTCAGAAGATGGTCAAAATAAGGAATGACGCTGTTTATACCAATGCTGCATCCTTCCTCACTACTGAGCACATTTTGGATACAACCTATGTCTATCGAGTACATGATTATTGTGAACAGATTGCAGTGATAAATCGGTTGTCTTCATTTCTGGATTCACATCCACGGGTAAAGATAGTCATTATCGACAGCATAGCATTTCTATTTCGACATGGATTTGAAGATTACGCCATGAGATCAAGAATCTTGAATAGTTTGGCTCAAAAGTTGACCCAGCTGGCAAACGAGAAGGGAATAGCCGGTGAGTACATCTTGAAACCACCAATATATTTTGTGATCGTTTCCTTCAGTTGTGTTAATTAACCAGGTCACTACAAAGGTTGGAGCAAACAATGGTCACCTGGCACCTGCTCTTGGAGAGAGTTGGGCACATGCCTGCACCAATCGCATAATGCTTTTCTGGGAAGCAGGTCATCGATATGCCCGGCTTGTCAAATCGCCTTCGAAGAAGACCGATACAGTTCCTTACCAAGTCGTTGCTGAAGGAGTGAGTTTACCATTTCAAAGAAATTCATGTTTAAACTTTTTCGCAGATTAGAGGAATATCAAAGAAAAGGCAGAGAAATGTTGGACAAGAATAAAGTGCTGTTTTTTTTTAGCTCGCGACAAAAAGTAGAAGATTCTTGTATTGTTACTGTAAATTACAGCTGGCAAATTAATCTGTTTTATCAATCACAATAAAGTCTGAGCGGACTGAACAAAAAAAGTTTTAAGTTTTCATCAAATCTAGATCCATGTATGGAGTCATGATTCACTACCCAACGATTGCGTCCTCGGGATGTACCCTGCCATGCCAAATGGATCTATCTGCCATTTCAGGGAATGTTTCTAATATACTAAGTATTTCTTGGGGAGGATCCATGTTCAATTTCTTTGCTCGATTCCACCGTTCCAGTCGTGTACAGCTCATGCATGGCCCATACTTGGTGTTGAGATCGAAAACTCTCAATCTAGCATCGGCTTCCTCTCTGTCGATGAATAAACCAGGCTCAATTTCGCACCGCAAGTCCTCTTTCGGTGTTTCTTGGACAGGTGGTTTTGTTGATTCGATCTTTACGATCTTTTGGTCTTTGTGCGAGACATCCAGTGATTTCTTTTGGGCGTATCTGTCAGGAATCCCCTTTTTGATAGAGTCCATGGTATCGCTGATCTTGGATTGCTTCGAAGCCTTTTTTCACAGAAAGGTCAATGTTAGATCATTTTGAAGGGAAAAGTCAGAGTATAAGGGGACAAAGGGCAGGATAGAAGTGGTGTGGATCACATGTGAAATAAGAATGTCTAGCTCGTGTGCAAAAGAAAGGCGAGTCACATTGCGATTGAGCATACGGCAAGGAAGAGTCGTCTCAGCAGCGAATCAACAGAGAACAATACACAAGGAGTGTATCTTACCATATTAGACCTCCGCGCCATCTTCGATGGGCCCTCTGTTATTGCACTCCTCTTCGGCGCCATTTTGTGGGTCCCAGAAAGGTCGTTGACGTTCTCTTAGGGGGAACAAAGGGGTACTCATTACCACCGGTGATACTTGTTCACGACCTTCATGAGCAAATCGATTACGATGGGGTGGGTAGGAAAGCTCAACATGCAAATCATTTTGTGGGGTGGGGTGGGTGCCCTCCTGCCAAAGGCGGAAGGAGCTCGCGGGGGTCCTATATGTCCATGTGGGGTGGGGTGCACATGTCGTGACCACCGGTGTTATTTAGGAGGAAAGCATAGGTAGCTAAAGGACCCACTTTTAGTTCTTTACATGTATATAATTCACAATTATTGCTGTACAGGAAGAGAAAAATGTTGCCATTTTCCGACACCACTTTCGGTACCAAAGACTATAATTTGTTTTTGTTTGATACAGTTTATAATATAAAATGAGATTAAAATCAGGTTTCGTACGAAGTTGTGTGTATAAAAACAAATTTGTGGGGAGACAGAGGAACCGCCTCAAACCTAGTCAAAATGGCTAGCCAGGACCGGTCGTGATACCATAATACCACCCATGGGCATTACCAGAAAAATACCCCTACTTGACTCTGTTGCTCTCAACCACCCCCTGGTATTCTGAGACCCCACATTACCCAACCTAGGGACTATTTCAAATTTCCTTGTACTTTACTTGGGAAAATGTCAAATTATCTCGGAAGTGGTTACTATTTTCATGATTGTTTTCAGATTATTGTACCCTACCCCACTGAGTCAATGACCTGTAGCGAGTACTACCCACCCTTTCACCCATGTCCAGACCAGACCTTGGTGTGGCGATCTTCATTTTATACCCCTACCCACAAGATGCTATCATACTACCCCCCTTGACCCGTTCTTCCTAATCGACTTACCCCACCCCCACCAACCCTACGAAGCACCTCCTGCGATAGCTTTGGTTTGAGGTTTGTGCTCCTATGGCGAGGGATACAGCAATGCAAGCACTAATTGCTCCTCCCCTTGCCCTCATCACAACTCAAACGACCATCCACACGTTTCTCCTCCCATGATTTTACCCCCTCATCTTCGAGATTTCTTTCAGCTCCAGTAAATTCTTCACACTTTCTGTGTCCATGAATTCAGATCGTTTCCTCTTTACCCATTCATTACGTGATGAAATCCGTTGATAGCTACTTTTCCATGTATCTGCCTTTGCTAGCATAGCTCTAATGTAGTCTGTCACTTATCTCTGCATGTGCATGACAGATTCAAGTAGATGAGATTTTAAAAAAAGGTTTCCGCTCTTTGTGATTTTTGGTCTTGAACCTTTCTTTTCATGGACCATTCTATTCCTTCGGCTTTGTTATGTAGAATCACAGTGGATTCTGCTTTCGAATATCCCATCGATCATGTTTTCCTGTTATTGTATACGAGCTGTAATAGTGTTTTAGGTCTTGCCGCCGTTGATCGAAGAAACTTTAGTGAGAATTCTCGTGGTTGTCAAGGCAGCTCAGGCGTTTTCAATCCGTCTTGAAGATGTCTCAAAGTCAGGTCGCTTTACACCACGCGATGTCTTGTGTGAGATTGACCTTCCGTGCTCATGCAGATTAAGGTGAAATGCCCGGGGTGCAGTACGATGCTTGCCCTGCCACAAGGGACAACCAAGTTCAAATGTGCCCTGTGCTCCACAGTTGCAATGATACCTGAATCAGTTAGTGTAACGCCAAGTCGTCCCGCGGACATGTCGCCATATGGAGGAGATTCCAGACAGTACTTTGGGGATCCAGGTTTACAGTCAAGCTCCTGGTCAGATTCCAGGCACAGCACAGGTAGTGCTGGATTTGGACCACCAGGTTACTCTCCAACTTTCCAAGATTCTGCATCTCTTGCTTTGTCAATGCAGCCCATTCTTCCCCCAGGTGAAATAGAGCAACCTGTTTGGATGGATCAGGAAGGAATAACGAACTGTTCGCTCTGTTCGTCTGAGTTCTCAGTTGTGAAGAGGAAACATCATTGCAGATGCTGTGGAGCTGTTGTCTGCGGACCTTGCAGCTCAAATAATATGGTGATACCTGGAATCAACAAAGATAAGAGCCGCGTGTGCTCCCTCTGTTCGAAACATCTCACGGATCAACCGAACCATTCGGGATGCGTCATGCGGTCTTGTATGAATCTCTCGGCTACTGGTGCAGCACCAGCAGCCCTTGCGCTGGCCTGCAAATCCATTGCTGATGAAGCACAGGCTGGAAGTGCCCAGTTTGAGCAGGAAGGAGTCTTGGAAAAAGTTTTGACAAATTTACTTCCATTCACACGTGGCGTTGATGCACAGATACAGAGGCAGGCCATTCGCGCCATGTCAAATCTTGTATTGAAAGAGAAACATCGTTCCAAGACTATGGAAGCTGGCATCGTTCCCATTTTCGTTGATCTGTTGGCAAGTCACGATGATATTCTTAGACTGCAGGCTGCACGGGGAATTCTCGGCCTCAGCAACGAAGAAGTCGTGAGGCAAGCTTTGGTAGAACTGCGAGGTGTCAATACGATAATCAACATACTCCCAGCAGAGTCAGATGAGGGTCAAGCTGTAATGGTTTCCATTTTGGAAGCTCTTGCCAATGGAGGATCGCAATATCGGGTATTGATCCGTGAAAATCATGGAATCTTCACACTTGCAGCATGTCTCACAACAAAGAATCAAACGATCTTGGAGAAAGCAACGAACATTCTTGCTTTGATGGTATCTGAACATCAGTCTCGTCGAGCAATTTTTGAGAGTGGTGCAGTCACGGCTTTGTTTACCGTGCTACAAACATTTGGAGGGAAAATCTTACTCAATGCTCTCAAGGTGGTCTCTGTAACAACTACAGACCCAAATGTATGCCAACAGCTCCCCGATAAACATGTTGCAGTGCTCTCTCACCATCTTGATGACCTTTCACATGTGCACATTCTGCAGATGGTTTGCTCTACAATCCGCAATGTATCAACTGCTGATGAGAGGTTTGCTCGGACGCTTGCAATGGCTGGTGCAGTGCCGAAACTGTTGAACGTCTTGCAACGATCGGGACCAGAAGGCTGGGCGGCTATTCGCACTGATGCCCTCAATTTCTTTCTGTCTGCATGCACAGTAGATGCAGTAAGAGACGCTCTTGTTCAGGGATCAGGTGTCGGTGTTCTGGCGTCCATCGCAGCCAACCCATCCAGCCACATTTCTGAGATTGAGGTGAATAGTTGCATCTGACAGTGTTATAAGACTGAGTTGCCATCGAAGGTGTGCCTGACGTTGCTGTCGACTTTGACGTCTTTCAGCGCGGAATGCCGACGATCGCTTTTCGAGATAGGAGGCACCAGCCTTATGCTAGAGTGCATCAAGTTGCAACCAAGCGCTCCTGTCAAAGGGGACCCGACATTGGGAATCTCCTCGGAAGAACAAAAATTGCTCATGATCTCTGCAAAGCTGGGCCCTGCACTCCAAGTGCTGGCAAATCTGTGCGAAGACCAACCTGTACGTGTGAGATTGTCTAAGAGTGGTAGACTGTGATCGATTTTCAGATCTGGGATGTGATTTCTGATGCAAGGGGTGAAGTTGACGTGTTGGCACATGCTGGCAGCAAGGATCCCAGCATTTCACTTGCTGCTCTCCGGTGCCTCATTTCGCTCTCTCGCTCTTCAGATAGGAGGTGAGTCTTCTACGAAAAAGGAAATTGTTGTTGAAGGCTGTTTGCAGGTCAAGGGAATTTCTTCTCCGATCTGATACGCTGCCACATCTTGTGGGCCATCTCTCTTCAAAAGACGAGAGTGTTGCCGAGATGGCTGCTGAAATCATTTCCGAGCTTTGTACTGATAGAAGGTGCCGTGATGAACTGTTGAGGTGCTACAATTGTCTGTGCTGTACTCCTGGAACTCATGAATGATCTTCAGGCAAGATGCAGTTTCAAAGCTTTTGAGAATGATCTCTTCCTCTCGAAATGATGCCTTGAGAAGCAAGGCCGTGATTGCAATTGGAGGAATGTGCGGGGACGATAGGTTCTGGGAGATTATCACCAGGAGCAACGGATTGACCATGCTGGTTGAGCTTCTTTTTAACCCTAACTCAGCTTCTTCGTTGAAGTTGAATGTCTGTAATGCCCTCTCTGATCTTGTGATGGATAGAAACCATGCCTTATCATTTCAAAGAGCCGGTGGGGCCCATGCCTTGACCAGTGTGCTCTCGGTTCAGGACAAAGATGCTGCTGCTGCTGCTGCCTATGCGATTGGAAATTTAGCAAAGGCAGTGGATGCAGCGAATGTGCAGATTGATGACACCACCATTCGAAAATTGATAATGATGCTTGCTGAGCCAGGCGCGTCTTCGTCGATGCACGCGATATCTATCCTGTGCGATTGTGAACAAGTCAGGCAAAGGTTCCTTCAGAATGGAGTTGAGGCTGCCTTAGTGAACACGAGCAAGTGTCATTCTGATCCATCAACTCGTCAGCAGGCTGTCCAGGTTCTTGTCAAGGTATTGAAAGAAGGCAATGATGGAGGACAGAGGCTTGTTGAACTTGGGGGCGTATCAATGCTTCTCGGAATGGCATCAAGTGGTCGAGTAGAAGACAAAGAGTCAGCGCTGGAGCAACTGGAACAGATCAGCAACAATCAGAGTGGCTTGTCATCATTTGAAGGCCAAGAGAGGGATCTCTTGCCTACTCTGGTACAATCGATGCAATCGAACTTGTCAGCGGTTAGAATCCGAGCGATCAGTGTGCTGGCTAACGTCACTAGGGACGAGAAAATTGCTCCGATAGCCGTTGGGGCCGGAGCAGTGTCTGCGATGCTGCAGCATCATGATCGCAAGAACGTACAAGAATTGGATGGGGTTGTGAATGTCTTGAGAAACCTTGCATGGCTGGACACGCTCCACGAGATGATCGTCGAGACGAGCTTCCTTCCTAATTTGGTAAGTCTGCTCAGCTCCACAAGGACGCAGACACAAGAAGCAGCAGCAGCTGTGGTCACAGAGTTCTCTAACCGCAGGCATCTTCTTATCCACCTCATCAATAGTGCTGCGCTGATGCCAATCGTCTCACTTTTGTCGCGAGGGAACGGCAAGCTGGTAGAGAAGGCGATGAAAACATTGAGCAACCTGGTTTACCTCCCAGATGCATCAAGCGAACTTCAGAAAGCTGGGAAGCTTGACGTTGTTGTCCCGCATCTCTCCATGGGTTCATCTTCCACGCAGATGAATGCTGTCTTGACTATCGGAGGCATCGTGTCTACTATCGGAGAGCGAGCTCGTTTCTTGAGCAATGGAGCGGTTGAAAGGATAGCAACTATGTTGAGCATGAATCAATTCAAGAGCGAGGGAATCCTATACACTCTTGGTGAACTGTGCGAAGAGAAATCCATCTGTGAAGCGCTTGGAAGACAAGATTCTCCATGGAAGCAAGCACGTGACTGGATGGTTCAGTCAGTTGCTGCCCCTCACAGTGACTTGGATTTGCGCCGACGTTGCGCTTTTGTGCTGAGGCGCCTTGCCAAGATTCCGAACACGTCTGTGAAGATTGCTCTTGTGGAGAGTGGCGCATCGGATGCTGCAATGCAGCTTTTGCTCGAGCAAGACGATGGGGTTCTGTGCGCAGACTTGAGTGCGACGCTCTATGACTTGGCCACATGCCCGCAAGGTTTGGATCGGGTCTGTACAAAGACCAACATCTCGATGGTTGTTGGACTTGCTGACCATGCACATGAGCCGACCAGGGCGTATGGTGTACGCCTAGTGGCTCTCGTGGTTGCGAGGGGAGGGCTCAAGCAGATTCTTGAAGCGAAGGGAGAGGAGACGATAAGAATCATAGGTATGCTCGCAGCAACTCATGCTAGCGAGATGTCTTTCGTTTCCAAGGCGCGAATGAACATGCAAGGGTTGGGCTTCATGCCGACTAGTGATGTTGTGGTGCCAAAGATGGTGAACGAGAAGGTGACGCCCAAGGCGGTTCCGGTACCTGACTATCCATATGAAAATGCTTTGCCTGTAGTGGCTCATCAGGCTGAAGTTCTCTCCCCCAAGACAGTTCAGACTCCTTCCAACTCGACTCAGAACCACCGGGCGGTTGAACATGCCGCAACTCCTGAGGTCCAGAAGTCAAGGCCGAATGACAATCATCAGCAGAGCGTGAACTCGCACACTGCGGTGGCACGTGAAGAAATCATTGAGCCCTCAGTCGCGGCTGAGAGAGAGCTTCCTCCTGGATGGGGAACAGCCAAGGACAAGTCGTCAGGGAGGGTCTACTACTACAACAAGGCCCTCAAGATCACCCAATGGGAGTTCCCAGAGATCATCTCAGACGATCCTTTGCCGCCTCCCCCCATGGTGAAGGAAGTGAAGGAGCCTCCAGCATCGAGCCCGCCAGCTGTCGCTCAGCAGCCTCGCGCTGTCAACGATACCCAGCCAGCCAGTCTTCCAGCTGTTCACCCGGTTGCACAATCTGTGGCTCAGCCGCAGCCCAAGGTTGTAGCGTCTCCTGCGCCTACGATTCCGATGACCGAGCCCGTTGCACAAACTCTTCCTGTGAATCCGGCAATGACGACGGTAGGAGAAGTTTGAGTGTGTTGTATGTTGATGCCTTCTACACTTGTCACGACAATTACTGTGCATCCTGATGACTTTGTTTCAGGCTGCTCCTCCTCGCTATGAGAATGTGAAAGGACCTTTGCCAGTGGGCTGGGAGGAGCGAAGCACTGCGGACGGGAGGATGTACTTCATTGATCACAACTCCAAGACCACAACCTGGATCGACCCGAGAGACAGCCAGCAGAAAGACTCGTTGGCGAGCAAGCAGATCTTGCCGCAACCTGCAGCATCCCGAGAGACTGTCCAAGACAGCTCTCCTGGGTCGGCCGGAGCTCAAAGCCTAACGAGCAACTCGACCTTGGTGGCAGAAAGTCTCGGGGCCTCGGCATTGGAGACAGACCTGACCTTGAGAAAGGAGGAGGTGTCGGCGAGTCCGAGCCCGGCGAGCACCGTGACAGGAGCTCCTCCTCTCAGTGTCTGCAACAGCGAAGTCTCTCTGAGTGAGCATGTCGAGATGCTCGCCAACGAATCCGTCCCGAGTAGGGAGGTAGAGGAGCAGCCCAACAGGAGCGAGTCGCATGAGTCACAAGCCCTTGCTCCCCCCCTCAGCCCCGTTTCCAGCTCAGCCCCTCCCATCCCTACCGATCCAGAGACTCACCAGGACGACGAAGACGAAGACGCTTCTTCAGCGCCCCCGGAGTGAAAGCGGCGACGATGAGCGAGACGAGGGAGGGAGGGAGCGGTAGGAGGCGAAGATCTTGTAGATAGGGAAACAGAGAAACTCATAAGGAACGAGCTTTGTGATCGTTGAAAGAATACAATTTGACAAGTAGGGGTCAAACAAGGCTAGGCTTCGAGCATCTCACGAATGAACTTGCTTGAGGCTTTGACGTCTCCGACGGCTCGAAAGAAATCCTCCGCCTCCACACTCTCACCTGACCGCATCAGCACCTGGCGTGCACCTCAATCAATCTCGGCGTCCTCCCCATCCCCCAATCTCAACTCCTCCCTCCCACTCTCCTCCTCTCCTCCCCTGTCCCTCCTCTCCTTCCCCCTCTCCTCCTCTCCTCCCCTCTCCCCCGCTCCCCTCTCCTCCCTCCCACTCTCCTCCTCTCCTCGTACCGCGTGACAGTCTTCCATTGCCCTGCCCACCATCCGGTCTCGTAGGAGCAGGCAGAGGCCTAGCGCAGCTCTGAACAGGAAGCTCTCCCCCTCCAGCAGGAAGCAATCCCACACGCGGCATGAAAGCTCCACAGGGAAGTTCTTGGAGAAGATTGTGAGCCACCTGCGGAGGATAAGGGAAGAGCAGGAGCAGGAGGAGCAGGAGCAGGAGGAGCAGGAGCAGCAGGAGCAGCAGGAGCAGGAGCAGCAGGAGCAGGAGCAGGAGGAGCAGGAGGAGCAGGAGGAGCAGGAGGAGGAGCAGGAGGAGGAGGAGGAGCAGGAGGAGCAGGAGGAACAGGAGGAGCAGGAGGGCAAGATTGCCGACCATTCTGTGATGATGAGATCTGAGGAGAAACCAATGGTGTGGAAGTGGTAAGCCAAGTCAGGCAGCTCCTGCCCGAGGAGGATCTCGAAGACTTTCCACCGCAGCTCGATCTTCTCTGCATCCATCTGCCAATACGCTCACTCCCCAGCCCAGCCCCAGCTGCAACTCACCCGCAGAAAGCTGGGAAAGAACCTGCAGGAGAGGAGGTTCCCAAGGCACACAAAGGCCTCGGCAGGAGCCATGAAGAGGAGGAAGATCGCTCCGAGGTAGGACATGCCTTGGACGTAGCCAACCTCCGGCTGCAGCGCCGAGACGGTGCATAGGAGAACCCTGAGCTGAGCCTCGTCGACATCCTTGCCCTTCAGTTTGGTTCTGGGGAGGTCGTTGTTGATGATCTCAATGCCGGGGATGAAGAACGAACGGTCGTTGACTACCATCGCCTGCTCTGCGTCACTTGTGCCCGGAGGATCAGTGTAAGGTTCCTGACCAGAGACTCGTACTTGTCGTGATCCAAGTTGAGTTTGTTGCCAATGGCTCGCGGCCAAACCTTCACAGAGTCAGAGTTACATTCCACGTCACCAGCTCATCCTAAACCATCACCACCACCACCACCACCACCACCTCCTCCTCCTCCTCCTCCTCCTCCTCCTCCTCCTCCTCCTCTCCTCCTCCTCCTCCTCCTCCTCAGTCTCCTCTTCTTCCTCAGTCTGATCCTTCTCCTAGTCTCCTCCTCCTCAGTCTCCTCTTCTTCCTCAGTCTGATCCTCCTCCTCAGTCTCCTCCTCCTCCTCAGTTCACTCAGTCTCCTCCTCTTCACTCGCTCCTCACATTCTGGCGGAGTTTCCATGGGATCCCTTGCTTCCACAGCGCATGCACCCATTTCTTCCGGATGACGGACTCGAAGTTGGGCAGAATTTCCTCTGTCCACATGCGAACTTTCTCTCCTGGAGAGATGGGGACCGACGAAGTGGCGGCTGCAAAGTCAAAGTTTAGAGCAATGATGGTGAGGGGGCAGGGGGGAGGGGGAGGAGGAGGGAGGAGGAGGGAGGAGGGAGGAAAGAGAAGCGAGGAGGAAGGAGGAAAGAGAGAAGAGAGAGGAGAGAGGGAGAGGAGAGAGGGAGAGGAGAGGAGAAAGAAACACCTTCTTCCTCCCCTCGTTCTTGTCGAAGAGATCTGTGGAACTGAAGATGATCTTGTACAGAAGCGGGTTGATCGCAGTGACGGTCTCTCCTTCTAGCAAATCTTGCCATCATCCTCTTCACAGGCGAGGAGATGTTGAGTCTGACGCGCCTCCTCTGACCATCAGGGGACAGAGCTTGCACATCCTCATGGTTGATGAATATTGCCTCAACCTCCTCATCGCTCTCTATCATCTCAGCCTCGACGTCGTCAAGCCTCCCCCTCCCCCTCCCCCTCCCCCTCCCCCTCATCGCTCGACCCTCCTCTCCTCCCTGCTGTAAAGTTGCGGGGATGCAGCTGTCGATGTAATCGTCCACGTAGTCGATATCCAGCAGGATCTCAACGTGCTTGCACTCCTTCTGTGCTGACTCATCGCCTCCTCCTCCATCCTCTCGCTTCCGCTCGTTCACAGAGCTTTCCTCCGACATGCTCATCCTTGAAACCGCCTCCTGCCTCCTCCTCGCCGCTGCGCGTGCTGCCGGAGAAGGACCGGGAAGAGGAGGAGGGATTTCATCTTCCAGCGACTCTTGCATGGAGCACAGCAGCTGCCTCTCTCTCCTAGCTGCGAGAGCCCGAGCAGCAGGAGAAGGACCAGGAAGCGGAGGGGAGGGGGAGAAGATCGGTCCTCGTGCTGCATGTCAGGCTACCAGGAGGCTGTTCAGAGTTTCACAGGCCACTGAGGAGACGACAGGAGCAGCTGCAGAAAAATCTCCCGCTCGCTCATGCGGGAAACAAGGCCTGCCGTAAGGCGTTTGGGAAGCTATACAGGGGAACTCCCAGAGACAAGCAGAAGACGGTCAAGTGCATCCATGAGGCTTGAAGCTGGTAAGAAGAGAAGACGTGTCAACGAAGACAACAAGAAGCAGCAAGGGAGGAAAGAAGGAATATTCACTAGAAAAATCGAGTTGCGCTTTAAAAGACACACATAGTCACTGTGAGTAAAGATTAAAAGATACACATAGATTCACTGTGAATATTTGCTCATCAATCTGATCGATCTGTCATACACTGCTCATTCGGGGACATGCTAGTCTTAAGCCGGAGCTCTACCTTTCCGTTCTCTTCCACCTGCCCTGCTACATCTCATACTTCTACTAATACCATCATTCATACTTGTAATCGTGTTCATGCTCATCCAAATATTCTCCTAATATCATACTCATACCAGTCGTTTTTTAAACATTATCCTCAAGTTCATCACGGCTCTGAGCATTTGCTTCAACGGACCTTTACCTTCACCATCTCAGCGTCGATATTTCCACATTACACACTTCATCATCCCTTCCGTTCTTGATTGACAAAATCTAGCTGTCATGTGTATTGCCTGCTGCTCCATCACCAACTCCTCGTTCCTCCTCGTTCCTCCTCCTCCTCCTCCTCCTCCTCCTCCTCCTCCTCCTCCTCCTCCTCCTGATCCTACTCCTGATCCTACTCCTGATCCTACTCCTTCTGATCCTCCTCCTAATCATCCTCCTGATCATCCTCCTGATCATCCTCCTTCTCCTCGTGCTCCTGCTTGTCCATGCCTTCGGAGCCATGGCTCCCCGGCGCCCTCTGGTCCTGCGTCTCCGTTCTCTCATCTCCGAAATCAGTCTGTTAAAATGTTTGGCGTCACAGGTATCCTCAGGGATACTATATTGCATACCAGTGAGGGCCCGCGTCCCCGGCACCCGGCGGCCGGGCACTGCACCCGGCCGCCGGGCCGGCAGCACTGGCCCCCGGGCCCGGGCGGCTGGCCAGGCGTCGGCCCTGCCAGGCTGGGCCCGGACCGTTGGACTGAGGCTCACTCTGTAGTAGTAGTAGTCAAGTTTATTAGAATGCTAGATAAGTCGTATCGGGTACCTTTCCGGCCTATTCTTAGTAGTCTAAAGGGGTTCTCACGCTTGGCAGAGCGGCCCTTCTTGGATGGCCCTTTGTGGCATCCTCACTCTGTAAACCTAATGATTTGATGAAAGCCTCGGCTGACTGTCAAGAAGGTCTCTGGCTCTCTTCATCACCGTACCGGGCCTGCCAACGGTGCCGCTGTGACGGTGCGAGTCTGGCCGCAAACTTGGCATTTCACTGAGCTCTTTTACGGTCCCTGGCTTTCAACTAAAATCCTCTTTATTGACCGACTGAAAGAGAAGTCTTTTCTCTTCTCGCCGTTTGGCCTGTGCGACAGTGTCAGGGTCACTTGAAGCCTCCTCGACTCTCCTGATTGTCCTCGTACTGATTTTTAACTTAACTTTGAGTACCAGAGAAAGAGAAAGGCAAACCGGAGCAAACAAAGGAGGGAAAAAATCAACGGACGTATTTGACTAGGCTTGTCAAGAGGGAGAGAAATGGAACGAGGGACGTGGTAAGATGACGTTGCCCAAGGTAGAGCGCAAGCCCTCGGGAGGCGCGAGGGAGGAAAGGAGTACAAGAGGAGCCAAGGAGAAGCCTCAGCAAGACTCTCTCCCTCCCCTCCCGGTCCCGCACTCCTCCCCTTCTCGACTTGCTCTTGCCCGGGTGAGAAGAGGCGATGCTGCTGGGAATACAGTAATCACAGATGAGACGGCGACAGCGCGGAACAGGAACCTCGATGTTCACTTTGGTAACGCGTAAGCAGGAAGGATGGTGATGGTGATGCAAATGGCAGGGTCCATGTCAGAGGATCGGACCGGCTCGAGAGTCTACGTGGAGATGTAAGCGAAGCTGTTGCGGGGTGAGGAGTGTCTGCGATGTCTCTGATGCACGACCAGGTGTCTCCGGATGAAGACTCGACCGAAGATGCAGGTCCTCCAGCAGCTCAACATGATGTCGCCGGAGATATCAACTCTCGTCTTCGATCACTTTTCCCTCAGGGAGTCTGACATGAGATGTCTGGCCCCGGCCCTGTGCTGCAACCCCCACGTTACATCTGTCAGCTTTGCCTGCAACGAGTTCCTCGGCGACAGCTCTGTCTCTCACCTCTGCCTGTCGCTGCTTTCAGGAGGGGATAGCGTCTGCGAGGTCTCGCTCTCCAAGGTAGGAGCTACAAGTCAGTCCGGCAAGCATCTGGCTAGGCTGCTGGAACACAACAACAAGATCGACTTCCTCCAGCTCTCTTCCAACAAGGTTACCAGCTCACGCTGTGATCGAGCTGATCTGACCTTCCACTCACCCTCGATGATCAGCTGGGAGATGCCGGGGTGAGGGATATGGCCAAGGTCTTGACCTACAAGGAGAGTGGGTGAGAAGAGAAATGTTGTGATGGGAGTGCCGAAGGTGTCTGATGGACATGGTTTGACGTGAGAAAGGCTCTCAGCTCTTGACCTGTCGGACAACGGGATAGGAGGAGAAGGGGCCGCAAGCCTGGCGCTGATGCTCACTCAGAACACAAGGATCACGTTCCTTGACTTGTGAGCATGGCGCTACAACCTTGCTTGCCCTGCTGAAATCCTGCAGGTCGTGGAATCATATCCGAGGACGAGGGGCAAGAGTCTTACTCGAGGCCTTGGGAGGTTTTCCAGCCTTGCAGATACTCAAGCTCGGTTGGAACGGGATCGGTGAAGAGGGAGATGCTCTCGATGATGCGCTGGCGAGAAACGACACCCTGACCGAACTCGACCTGACCAACTGCCGTCTCGGGCCGCAGGTATTTATCCAGAGAAGGAGGGAGAACAAGATGAGAGGAGGAGGGAGGAGGGAGGAGGGAGGAGGGAGGGGACGATGCCTGACTAATGAATTCTTCTCAGCAAGCGCTGAGCATCGCGGAAGGAATGAAGCAGAACTCAAGCTTGAGGAGACTAAAGCTAGACTGGAATCCTCTTTGCCAAGGAGCTTCCGAGCTGCTGCCCGTGCTGGTTAACAGGTGGGGAGAGAGGGGGCGGGAGCATAGGCTCCTGATGGGGAGGAGCAGGAGCTGCTCAGGAGTTGGGCTGGAGTGGAGCATGCAGAATGTGTCGTGGGATACGGAGGCCAAGCTGCTGACAGCGGAAGAGGAGAAGAGATTGCTGCCTGGTCGGTACATCCTTGATCTTCGACTCAGCGACAACCGACAGATTGCGAAGAAGCTCGTGGACATCGCAATGACAGAGGGAGCGTGAGTTTGTGTTCCTGTCCGACTCTTCTCCTCGTTCAGTTCTCTGCTTCGGTCTTCTCTTTCTTTTTCTCCTCCCCTCTGATCTCCTCTCTTTACCTGTGCTCTCCATATCTTTCTTGTCCTGTCCTGTCTTCACCTCTGTTCTTCTTCCCTACCCCTTTGCCTCTCTCATGAAACAACCTCCTCATTTGTTGGGACATGAAATCACAGGGGGCGGTGGAGGAACGAGACAATGAGGCAGGACAGCAAAGACGTGCGCTTCTGGTTCAGCGAGGATCTTTTCGTCAAGGACAAGAGAGTCGTTGTGCCCCACCAAGGAGTTCTGACTGTCGACTTCAACACCTTCACCCCGTCGCCTCCTCCTCCTGTCGCAGACGAGGAGTTTGCGCTGCTGTACATGACGATAGCACAGATGGCTACCTCTCAATTGCAGGTATCTGGAAAGGAGGAGGAGGAGGAGGGAGGAATGGGATCAAGGTTAGAAGTTATCTCACTATGATAAGGAAGGGTAAGAGGTTGGACAGAGGGAAGGGGATGGAGCAGGAGCAGGAGCAGGAGCAGGAGCAGGAGCAGGAGCAGGAGCAGGAGCAGGAGCAGGAGCAGGAGCAGGAGCAGGAGCAGGAGCAGGAGCAGGAGGAGCAGGAGCAGGAGGAGCAGGA